TTTGGAATACTCAAGTTTTAAGAAAATCGCATCAATAAAGCTTAAGAAATCAGAAGGTCGATTTCATAAAAATGAAAACGTTCAAGTTAACTTTCTTTAAAAGGATATGATTTAGCACGTAAACAAATACAATGATGCGTTCACAAATGAAAAGGATAAAATTCTGATTTCACTCGTCTCACTTGAACATTTTAAGTAAACTTTCGATGTTCTTTGCTTGTGGAGGCTCCGAAACTTATCGTACTTTAGTTAGCCAATTTCGACGAAGACGAAAAAGTAGGACAGATTTGAAAGCGAAGCCAACGGAACGTCGTCGTGCCTTCCAAGCTCAATGGAAAAAACTTTTTGTGCTTAAAGGACTCATATATACATATATACATATATGTAAAAGTAAAAGTCAAATAAAAAATGTTGAAAGACGATAAGCACAGAAAGCAAATATAAAGAAAACATGGTAAACAGGGAATCATAAGAAGATAGGTGAAGCAAGGGTGGCAAAATCAAATGAACATTGAAGAAAGTTAAAGCCGATGAACAATGGAAGCAGCAGTCTATCAAAAATTTCGAAACAAGAAAGAATGATGGAAAGGAATTAAATAAACTAAATGAATAAAAAGATGGTGAAAGGAGGGAAGAAAATTGTTGTAGGGGCAGCAAAAAAAAGGAGAAGAGAAAAATTTCGGAAAAGGTGATCAGGAAGAAAGAAAGCTGAGTGCAAGTAACAAAAATTGATGTGAGTAAAGAGTGTAGGAAAGATTTCAAATGTAGCAAAGATAGATGGGAGTCTTTAAAGACAGAATAACATAAGGCAGAAGAGGAACTGTAAAAGGATGAAATTCTATGATATCGCTATCACCTGCGAAAATCGCTCATTAAAGTGAAACTCAATCAACTTCGCCAACATGGTGCTCGTCCTTAAGGAAGCTCAGACCCCATTGTTCTCCATTATGCTGTTCTGTTCATTTATTTGTTATCAACTTTTCGCACCATTAGACGGATGCATCGGTGTCTCGCTTCCAATGCGTATTCTCAGAGGTTTCGAAGAATGGATATTCATGTAAATGAAAAGCGACGACCATCGTGCTCTTGTAGAAACCACTTGCTTTATTTAAAAAAATAACAAGCACTCTGCAGGCGATGATGGAAAGTCTCCGACGTAGTTCACGTATCAAGATATCAGAAAGATGAGTAGAATACTGAGTGTAACAGCAGATTATAGAGCTTCGACTTCCTCATTTAGCCGGTGGACTTTCTTCAGAGACGAACACATTCTAAGCAGCCCTACCTTTTCATTACAATTGCATCATGTGGTTTTCTATACTCATTGAGTTCTTAAGCACACTTAAGACGTGTTATCCATAATTACAAAAAAATCCATCTTGACTTGTTCTCTATCGAATGAGTTTTTCTTGATTTTAATTCCCTTCACGTACTGCACTGAAATTGGCTTCCGGTTAACCGAGAATTGCTTCTATTTTACTGACACTTCTGGAGAATATGACAATATTATCAGTAGAAAAGAAGTTCATATGGATATGCATCAATGACTACTCCATTTAAGACCAAATTAAGCGAATTCGTTGTTCAATGAAGCGGTGAAGGCTTCTGGCAAAGTACGTGGAAGCCTCTCGTACAAGTTAGATCGGGTTGTTCTACGGGATTGATCTGCCTGTATTCGACGAAGATGGCATTCTTTCCGACCCTATTGCACCCTTTGTTAGTTGGCAAATATTGCAAAAAGAAGCAGGTGGAATTCTGGGCAAACCGCTATGAATTTAGCTATGGCCTAAGCCTGATATCTACAGCATAAACACTGCGCCTTTGCTCTTTGTCTAATGCCCGGCCCAGAAATACGTCACAACCTTCCTACCAGCTTATGGAACACACAAAAAAAAATCGGATATCGTTTGTATGAACCTCTTCGGATAACTGCTTTTTACAAGATGGCTGGTTGCTTGTTTTAGGCCTTCGTCCGTAAACGTACGTTTTCACCTTGCCATCGTTGCTGTGGAAAGTAGACATGTTATATTTGGGGCTTTTAGAAAGAGCCTTGACGCTATCCCGCTGAATGCTCTCCTTTTGATTGCTTTTACGATTTATACAAAGAAGTAACCATTGTAGAACAAAGATTTTGATGAAAAGGTGTGTTAGTGCCAAACTGTTCTCTAGAGCGGTTCAATCGAAAGACTGACAGACAGTGGCATCGTGAGTGACAGTAAATGCAACTCGCTACAAAGGATTAATACATTGGCGTCACAGTGATGCAATTACAACTAACACAAGTGGCTTCTTATAAGAGGAAAAAAATAGCAGAACATCGAACTTCGTGTTATAAAAACGTCTCTAAAACAAAAAAAATTTAGCAACGCCATAAGTGGTAATAGAAGTGGTCGTGCCGAGAACGAATAAGAAAACCGTGACGCTACACGATTTCTGATAGGAATTGATCAGTGTCACATTCAATATATCGATGAAAACGTCTATAGTTTTATGCTACCATTAGAAACGTAAAAAGTAATAACTACAAGCAGACCAAAATAACAGAAGCTGTGGATATCGAGGAACTATTTTAAGTGCACTACGCTAATCAATTATCACGGCTTTACGCGTTAGTTCGCTGAACAAAAACCTACTAGTTTATCCATTTTGGTAAGATATGTAGTGAATCCATTCGCTAGAATCACATTACCTACGGTTTTTTCTGTCTTCCTTTACAATTGTTGTGGTAAATATGAATAAAAACAATAAGGCTGTTGGCGTTGATCAATCCTTAAGGGATACGTCATGTATTCGGCTTCATTAAGCATCGTTTGGAGGTGACTGAATGCATATTTCGTCTTTACAGTGACTCGCAGTGGCCTAATATTGCATCGAACCAGTACTACCATTCTCCCAGACAAGTCTGGTACCGATTTGCCGACTCCCTCCTGAGGGATGGAGGACTTCGTGAGCCTGGGACGCCAGGATCGATTCCATTTGTATTGCAGGGCGCTTCTGACCACTGCGCTATACCCATCTCGAAGTAAATAGGTACGATGTCTACGAAAAGTTCAGTTTGATAAAATCTTTAAAAATGAGCTAATTTTTTTGCGGATGCCTTCTGTTTTTCCATTATCGCCTGTATTACTTGTAATCTCATTATTTATCAGTTAACTCAAAAAGGCACCACAAAAGGCCGTTCGTTCTCACCGTCAGCCGTGTCTGCACAATATCCCCCTCTCCTATAGCTCGGTAGATAGGAAAAAAACCGCGATTTTTCCTGTAAGGCCCTTTTGTGTTGCTTCTGGTGGTGAGGTAACTATAGGTGTATAACGGTTTTTGTTTGACAGCATTTTTCTTTGTTCTTCGCAATAAAGTGGTCAAAGGTAGCTGCATAGGCTCAACAATGCAATAGACTCACTCTTAGTTGAACCTTAGAAAAAGTCGAATTACAATGTTTAACGTTTTGTTTTCTGCCTTCTATAATTTTCATGGCAGGTTACTAAGCGAAATACAACCACAACGTTGCTGAGATATTTGCAAAACTCTGGACCGCAGGTGTCTATGGTGGGGAACGAACGCGCTATTATCCTTTCCGGGGAGTAACGCTAAAGCCATAGCTTAACTGGGTTCTATGCCGATTTGCGCCCCCCAGATCAACCCCGCTGACGGGTGAATGCTATGGCAAAAAGATCGATAGAAATAGCTGAGAGACAGGCAAACGAAGGACCCGCATGGTGTGGTGGTGAACGCGTTACTCCCCGGAAAGGAGGCTCGTTCGCCACCGCAGACACCGGCGGTCTGGAGTTTTGCAAAAGTCGAATTACTTTTTTCTCGTAATGAATCTCCACTCAAGCGCGGTAAAACGATGAAATGTGAGGAACGCACTCATTGACTTTATTTTCATTTTTATTTCATACGTCCCGTCTTCCCATCTATTACGCCGCTCCCAGCAGCTCGTGCATTGGATTGGTACTCCTTCGTATCCATAAGTCACGAAGGTCGTCGAAATTTTCGCGTATGAATTCGGCTCTTGAACAGCAGTTGTCGTGTTCCTCATGGATGCCGTTTACTCCTAATCGACCTGACCGTCGCTGGTGTCCTGAGATAACCGTGCTAGAGCGTTTCCACTTGAATTGAAGGAAACGTAATGTTTTTAGACGATTCACGTACCAACTTTCAGCTCTTGGAGAAATTCATGGCTTGGGAGCATAGGCGATGATGTGGGTCTAAAGATCATAATCTCCTTTATCTTCTCTCCTCCTTTCAAATGTCTCGAAGATGTTAGTTTCAATATACTAGTGCACCACTTACCTTTTCAACAGCAAACGACTTACGCAACAACGCAACACCGTCCTTCATTTTCCGATTTCTACCTCCGGTGGAGCTCAAGGAAATTGTAGACGACACCAACGTCCTCCTAAACTCGTAGGTGTCACGTATTCCGCCGCGAGGTATAGTCTTCCTCCATCACCGCCTATAGCGAGGTAAAAAAAAAACCATTAAACGAGGCCCTAACACTGTGAAATCAAAAAATAAGGAAAACATTGCAAAATCCATGTCTAATGCAGCCGTCATCTAGCCTTAGCTGACCAGACAACTTCGTTCTCTGCACACTTATCGTGTAGTCCTAATTAAGGATAACGACGTAGGCATTCTAGATTTGTTCGGGCCAGAGAGGCATTGAAATTTTGCCTTCCTATCGGTATTCGTCCAAGAAAACATATGCTGCTACATAGTAGCTCTTTCGAGGTCTTTTTTTAACAAATAAGTGATGAAATAGAGCAAGAGCACTTAAAAATCCTATCCGAAAGTTAATAAACTTAAAGAACAATGTACAAAGAACCGATGAGAATAAATATACGGCAATATTGAAAGATGCATTACTGCGATTGTGGCACTGCTATCAATCTGAAAAGGTGAAGATAATGTCTACGGCAAAGCAAGGAAACTGACAAACCACGTAACGACGCAATGACTGAAGCGTAAGCTGCTGACTACCAATGAGACACCCTCATGAACTATTCATGAAATGTGACCCAACTCATCAGATTCGATATGAAAACAATAACAGGTGGTATGTGGTACCTTTCACTTCCTCGTTTAGTAATGTAACCTCGATGCGTGACAGTTGCATGAATTCGATACTCTCTGAAGTTGTCAAGGAATGGTAAAAAACGAAGAGTGAAAGTTATAAACCCAACCTAGAAAACCAACAATGGCAAGAAATGAAACCGTTTTATTGAAAAAATAGCATAAAAAACGTCTAATATTGCGAACGTTGGACCCGCTCTCAGTTACCTGACATTACTCTCTTACTATTTTGATTTTGCTCGGAAGAACAGGTGGTAATTTTTATAGTTCAGTGGTGAATGTCAACGGGAATTGACAGGAGGGAGAAGAAAAGATCTTAAATGAGAAGTCTGTTAGAAATACGAAGCAGTTCTTCATTATCAAGTCATCAGCATGACGGTCGGATTCGATCGTAATTACGCGCATTCATAAAACGTTGCTTAAGAAAAGCCGGTTTCCGTAAGCGGGTAGCGGTCATTAAAATAACCCCAAACATTCTAAGAAATCAGCTAGTTCCTAACCGGCTTATATGACCATTTGTACAGGCAGCGTACCTAATCTCGTGTAAAGCGTGTGGGAAGAGTATGTTGACGAAACAGGTAGATCACCTTGTTCCCGCATAAAAATAGTCTAGTCGGCAAACGTAGAGCTACATAAAAATCTCCACTAAGCGCACATAGGACTCACAGACATAACGAAAAGACTTCGAAGTAAAAGACATAATTCTTGGAGAGGAATCTAAAACTTCAGAGCGTAAAAGTCATGAGGCGTTTTGGATAAACACCAAAAATCCAAAAATGAACTGCAAGAAGTGACTTATGGTCACGTGTGACTTGTGAAATATCAAAGGTCGATTTTTTGATCTGAGCCACGCACACTTCTCACCCAAGTGAGGCTCCGTGCGGTAGGTCTCCATTAATAACTGAAGGACTTACTTGTTATACTATTTAACATGACTCGTCATCACATCTAACGTGTGGTGTCCAGCACTGATTGCACTCAATTCGTTTTGCTCGAACTCATCGTCTACAATGATCTTCGAATATTTCGAGTGTTGTTTCAGCTGTTACTGGAGGATTTCGCTTTCTTTATGAATATAATAGAATGCTAGTCGCGTCAATTCTCTTTGAAGTCTTAGAGGTAGCCGGGCCAAGGCGTTCCCATATTGACTAGAGAAGAGCGTTGAGGTGGGATCGAACTAGGGCCTCTGCTTCGTGATCGATGGCATCACTAACTACTGCGTTGCTCGCTCTACTGGGTTTAAGAACAAAAAATGATGAGTGTTTAGGACGAACTGTTCTGTGTCATTGTATTTGAAGTTTTGGTCTTGTGTTTCTTCTGTTTTGGTTACGGAGGTAATTGGCTGACTAGTCGGCTGTTGGAATTACCCAACGAATTTTTATTAAATCGGTGGTTAATAGTAATTGAAAACGAGGAGATAAGAATGAAAATGATTTTTAATGAAAGTTTTAGCATGGACGCGAAATGGGTTTTCATTGTCAAATTATTACAACGATATGGTGGTTCGAACACAGTGAATTTGAAATATAGGGCCGTGGTAGCGCAGTAATAAAGATAGCGCGTCAACGGATTGGCACTAAACTTGTCTGAAGGACACTCTCCGGTCTAAGAATATCAGTGACTGTCAGTAGTGAAGAGATGAAGTGATACTTCGATGATCCGTCTTCACTCGTTGCGTAGGTCTCAGCATAATTTCCATTTTTTTCGGGAATTTGCTGGTTTAACCATTGTGGTTTCCTGGAATCCCTAAGTCAACCTGACCAAAATCAGCCCCAGGTCCTCACCATCCCAGGTAGTCGCTGCCTTTGTCGATCAAAGGGAGATAGTTTTATACCAGGATGGTTGGTGGTGAATTTTGGTATTAGTTAACTGTTAGCTAGACTTCCTGCTAGACCACTTCTCTGCTTGGGAGGCCCTGTTGGGGATGAATCCTCGCTCTACATCGCAGCCCAACACTCAGGAACACCTCCCTGCCACGATGAAGCAGTAAACCGTTGGGATAGTTGGAAATGATATAGGGCTATTCCTAGGATCACATTAGAGTCAGTGCGAGTTGCACTCATGCACATTTGCAAAGAAGACAACGTCTTCAAGCTGCTGCTAAACTCACCGTAAATCAGGAAATATTTTGAATCCAAGAAAACGAAGCGAATAGAAGAAGTGCTGGAACAGTCACAATATGTAAAATTTTGGATAGAAATAAACAGATGAGGTAAGTTGATTGGCGATTCGTGAAGTGGACCACAAAGAACCAATTCCATCATCTCCAACTAGTCACACTATCAATCAACAGCCGGATTTCGACCTCCTTGAAGAAGATCCAGCTCTACTACTTGTTCTCTAGATGATTGAAATTTCATTTTAGAAAACTACAGATTCGAAAAACTCGAGAATTCTACACCAAGTCAAACAGAGTTGAGCTTCTAAACGAAAGGAATCCCTCCTAAAATCGATACACTCGTTTCTTCTTTGCTTTTATTTCTTTTGAACCAAACCGAGATACAAAACCAAAAACATAGAGAGTGGTACAATAAAAAAAAACGAAAGAAGTTACATGCAGGAAAACCAGTTAATAAAAACATTTCAATACAGAAGGATGCTGCTCTCTTCCACGACTTTTGGGCTTCTGCGGCTTTCACCATGAGCAGCTCACGTCCTTTGACCATCGAATATTTTCGCTTTCTCCTCGGTCTTGGTTGAAAAACACCTCGTTTATCAATGGAAATCAGAAAAAATTGTTCGAAAGTTTGGTGAACCGTTGTAAAACATTATTAACTTAGAAAATGGTTTACCTTCAGTAGATCTTCAATCATAAAACCGATTCTACGCTTCTTAGGTGGTGCCTGCAGCGGTGTTTCCACTATAGGTGTCAACGCTACCGTATTTTCGGAGATAGTTTCATGCTTAGGCGCTTCTGATGTGATCACCGGGAGCGGTGTCAAACACTGTTGGCCATAACTTGAAAACGATACAGTATAAAAGTATGGAAGAGACAAGATGACGCTCCAAAAGCGGTAGAGAAGGAGAGAAAGGCAGAAAGAGAAAGACAGAATAGTTAAAAGTACTTGTTTAAAATCAAACCTAATAAATTGTTGGTTATTGTCTTTCCTTTCGTATTTTGCAATGTTCTCCTTGTTCTCCTTGTTCTCATTTTTCGTAACGTTTTTCTCAACGTAACGTAACGTTTCAACATCCAATTTCGTACTGGTTCCACCATTGCCGAAACAGAGCTAAAGTTCCAAAAAGCATTGCTCTGTTTTAAAAAACTTGTATGTAAACACCTAATGGTGAATAAATTACCGCTCTTTTTCAAGTTAATAAAATATCACCAACCTCATACCATTCGCCCAACTCATGGCTAAACTCTGACACGCGGCTGATAAATTGGCCCGACTCATCCTAAATATTTGGGAAAATAAATACAACGTCTATTTCAGAAAATACGCAGTTTCGCCTGTTGAAAATGTCCTGAAAGTAGGAAGACGTTTGAAGAATAGTTGTATATATAATGCAATAAAGGGGTAAAAATGAAAAAGATGGAGTGATAACGTAACAATTTTCTATTTCCTGCATATTCTTTTTCATGGCCAGCTATGATGTGAATTATAATCACAATAACGCTGAGATATTTGCGAAACTCTGAACCGCAGGTGTTTGCGGTAGGGATCGAACACACTACTACTCTTTCCGGAGGCTAACGCGTTCACCACCACATAAATGCGGATCTTTCGTTTCGCTTTTCTCTCAACCGTGTTTTGAACCTATAGGTACTCAACCATACGCGACTATAATCAGTCGTTCTAAACTTCCTCATTGGAAGTCACGAAAAAAGCGGCTCTGAAGAAGGCGATACTGCCGAAACGTCAGCTAGTGTTGTATTGTATTGTGTTTTTCTATAGAAGTAAATGTATGCTGTTTAAAAACCCCGCGATTGCTGAACAAGAAAATGACGCATTTATATTCCAATGCCGAGGTTAATAGAAAGTCGATCTTGGGACCTATAGGTACTGCTGTCAGCAAAAAGGAATGAGAGGAAGCCGAAAAGCCACATGGTGTGGTGATGAACGCGGCAGCCCTAGGAATGGCTAATAGCGTGTTCGATTCCTACAGCAGACACCTGCGATCCGGAGTTTTGCAAATATCTCAGCATTGACGAATAAGAAATTTAAGATTTTGAAAACGTGAAGATTTTTCAGTGGTCAGTGTCGTGCCGTCGCCATGTCTGGTCGTGAAAAAGGAAGCAACGACTTGGAAATGGAGGAGCGAAACGCCATCGCAAAACGCTCATAGACAATATCTCAGCATCACTGTCACGAAAGGATAGTTGTTTCTTACATGATGCCTTCGTCGCATGTGACCGATTACGCCAGCTTTATTGTAGGATGATGAATAAGTGCAATGTGGACACTGGAATAGGGGCCGTAGCAAGTGATGTTGCAGAATGTGACGTTTTGGTTCTGAAAAAGAAGGCAATAATGGGATAGAACGTTTACTTAAGTTTACAGAAGACCTGCCAATTAGCTTATTAGGTATTTTGAGTTAAAGAGTATAGATTGTCTGGCCCACAGTCCAAGTTCCACTAGTCATATGTATTCGTACTGCCCACTTTATCAATCCACAAATGGCGTTGCTCGGATCGGTAATCTTCTCATTTACCTTGACCTCTTTTTTTTGTCTTCTTAAGTTCAGCTTTGCACACAAAACAGTATTTTTTCTTATAACGATGGACCGCATTTCGCATAGTTGGTGTTCCAGAACTCGATGACAACGAAGGAAAACCTGTACCTGCCTGAAATATCGTATCGTGAAACGAACTATGATGACCTGAATAAATTAAGGATGAATGATAGACAGTGAGCAAGCATTACTTTAAAAGAGGAGGAATAGATATAATTCAATGCTGCCATGGCTTGCTGAGCTGTTATAAAACCCTGACTTTTATTCAAATTTCTTCAAGATAATAAGTATGCTGGTTAAAGTACCTGATCAGAAGCTTGACTCTTACGCAAACGAATCTAAACCTAACTCCAGCAGTTGACCTGCTACTACTAAGACAACTGTAACACACACGACTACCTGTAACCTGAAACACTAGGCATTTACCTGGAGCGAAAAGCGGACATCCTCGAACGTGGCATGTGTTCAGAAATCGGTCGATGGTGAAATTTCAGTAAGATTTTGCAAGGTATTCAAAATTTTTTTTTTAAAATGACACTCCAATTTTATCACTTCTAACTGAAAGAACACCAATACGTAATTTTTATGGTCTTCAAAATTCAATGAGAACTTAATTTTTATCTTTTGCCATGCCTATTCATTTACTTCTTTTACTTAGTTCTTTCGTAAATGTGGTACTTTCGATGACATCATTAGAACAAACATTCTATTCCGTTCTAACGAGGACCACCTACCTAATTCTGTTTTCGGCTATTAGAAACGAGTAAACTCCGCTGCCTTAGTTTTTGACCAAGTATAAAGTGAACATAACTTAAGAACTCACTAATGGTGTGCTTCCAGATGCTCTCTTTGATGGAAGCAAATGTTTACTCATGTCGGATTCTGATGATGAATCGAAGAGAAATGATGCTGATCGACTGGTGAAGGCAGAGGAGAGTTTTCGCAGACCTCCATTACTGTTGTAGCATAGCGAGCACGGTGAGTAGTTACTGGATGACATTAGCGGTGTTGGCATTTGTGGATTAAAACCAGTACACGGTGTCGCTGTGAATATTTCTGCAAAAAAAAAGAAAAGAGAAAGAAAACACGAGAAGACCATCCAGGCACTTTTCATTATCCCGAGCGGTAAAATGTTTTCCTATTGCAAGATTATTCTCTAGAACAAATGCAGTCCATATTTTCATAGGCCATTACTGTAAAATACAGTTGTATCTAATGGAAATCCTGCAATCATCTAAATGCTGTAGATTGTAGACGACTTAAGGGAGGTTGACAAAGCGATTTAGAGGCTAAATACACTGTGTTATAGTTTTCTTCGTACTTCAAATGACACTATTTCAATTAGCGTCTTGTATTACCTAAAACAGCAATCAGCTTTAGTTAATATAAAGGGATGAAGGATAAAGGATGAAGCTTTTAGTGATGACCAATCCCTTTGGGATGCGCCATGCATTCGACTTCTTTAAGCATCGTCGGAGGTGATTGAATGCATCTGGCCTTTACAATGAGTAGCGGTGGCCTACTTGTATCGAGCCAGTGCTGCTATTCTCTCAGACAATTCTGGTACCAATTTGTCGACCCAAGAGGGATGGAGCGCTTCGTGAGTTTGGTGGTCGGAGATATATCCCATGTGTATTGCAGGGTGCCCTGACCACTGCGCTACGCGCACCCACGTTTTAGCTGATATAAAACGGAGATATATTTGCATAAATTAAACTACATTATGTTTTATTTTAGAGTGAAAACTAAACCATACGGTTTTTTGCTGAACTGGCGGAAGCTAGCACTCGTCTCCTTGAGCTAGACCGATTTTTTGACGCTGACTGAAAAATTGTTGTTCAGCGGTATAAACTTAAGAAAGGGGAAAAAAAGAAAAGATATGATGCACGATGCTACTGCGAATGCCAAACAAGGAAATGAAGGAAAAATATTTGAAATGGTGGAAAAGACACTGTCGTATTCACCTCATCACGTAGTACTTCCGAAGTATTCATTGGTTCAGTACGCGGACACCTCTAAGGATTGAAGCAATTGCAGAAGTGCTGAAAGTAGTACTTCAAGGGTTCATAAGATACTAAGATACTATAGAATCGTAATTCAGTCTGAGAGCGCTAATCGAACGAAGACTAAAAATCCTCAAGCAGCAACAGAACGCAAATTCGAAAGCCTACGTGGATAATGGATGCTTGGGAACCAACTGAATGAAAGAAATGATACGAACCAAACAATAGCAATCCGAATAAGAATTCACACGTAAGGCAGTTTACCTAATACAACGTTAGCTTGCGTTCCGACTGTTCCGCCGTCGGCTATTTCGCAACCGTTTGTACGACCGTTTGGGTAGACAAGGTGATTGCATTAGTTCAGGTACGAGGTACCATATCTGTTGTAGAGTGTGTGCGGAAGAATATGTTGGTGAAGCGAGTAGATTATTCTGTATCAGTATTAGAGGGCACCTAGACAGGAAGCGTAAACTAGAACGAAGTACTCCATTAAGCAAGCATGGGAGCCACAGACACAACGGAAAAGACTTTGAAGCAGAAGCCATGATCTTTGCACTTGGATAATTGACACAAGCAAGTAAGCATCGAAATTGGTCCACCGGTTATTACTGAGACCAGCCGCGTGGAGGGTTACACGGGTGAAGAATGTGCGCCGCCGAGTCTAAATAATCGATCTGAGGAGGTACGGCGACAGATCAAGCGAGATCACAAGACATTCCTCATTGCGGTTAATTTCTGGATTTTTGGAGTTTACCCAGAATATCTTAAGACTTTTACGGTCTGGAGCTTCAGATTCCTGTGCAAGACCTTAGGAACAACTAAACGATGAATGTTTAGGGAAAGTTGTTCACTATGCTAATAAGCATTTATGTATACGACATTGTCTGCTCAGGTTGCGGAAGTGCTTAACTGAGCGGATTGCGTTTCAGTTTGAGTCTTCGAGGCCCTGAAGAAGACCAAACCACCGAAACGTCAGTCAGTATTTTCCTGAATAAATAATGATGCTAACAACCTCGTGTTTGCTCATCAAGAAAACTGTGTATCGTTGTTCCATGAGGAGTTTAAAAGAACGTGGATCCTGGATCTACAAGCTTCCTTGGTTAGCAGGGATTCCGAAGGTCGGATTGATTTTCTGAACAACAGCAAATTTTTGCTTGTACCAAAAACTGCTGAGTATAGGACCAAAGAGAACTATCTAGGGTGGTTCTACACCTTTTTCTTCGTTATGAAAGCTGTTTTTTTTTCTATGAAATCAGTTTCTGGGACAAACATAACTCAATTTCAGTTGGCCTGTAACGACATTCAGCAGTAAGCCTCGAATTTATTTAGTATCATTATAACCTGCTATTATTTTCGATTGAAAAAAGGAGTAAATGTCACTACATAGTATTGTTTTGAAATTCAAGCCAGCAAGTACCTACCTCTACAGACCTCCGTCATATGAGGGACCTCGAGCCGGTTAGTCGCCATGTTACGTGGTGCGACTCCAGGTGACGGATAGGGGGTAACCGCGGACCAAAAGCGATCTTTGCTTACCTAAGAGACAGCTGAAGCCAAGGGATGGACTCCCTGTTTCTGCTGCCCCAATTTGGCACATACTTTCTGTATTCATGCATGTGTGTATGGGTGCGTTCTAGTTTAAGCGGATTGCATTTTACGAGTCAGTTCGCCCAAAAGCCTGCAATCAAATGACAGCGAAGTGCACGGGAGGAGTTGCCTCCAAGAAATAAGCTAAATGTCCACTCTGGGAGAGAGAGGCAAGCTATTCGTGAATATGCCCAGCTTCCACGTTCAGAGCCAAGCAAGCTATACGTGGGCATCAAAAAGCTAAAAGCAGTAAACGAAACAAGACTCATTCCCTGACCCCGAAAGAGTCGCCGATTCGGCAGCATTAGGTAGGACGAGTACGAAGATGCGGCTAAAATCTCAGTGCCATTTTAAGTTGCCTAAACCGCAAAGAACTAAGGTGACGATCTGTACCTACAATGTAAGCACACTTGCATACGAGTCCTCGAGAGAAGACTTGCTCATGCAAGCAAGAAACATGAGGTACGACGTCGGCTCGGCTGAGAGGAGACGACGCCACCCATTCAACGGCGTGTGTGACTCCGGAGAAGAAGTGTTCCTTGGAATATGCAACAGTAGTGAAATCGGCGGCGTCCCAGTTCTCGTCAGCACGAGTTTGGTCATGAGCATCGATTTATTCGAACAACTAACAACCTGAATCGGACGCTTGCGACAGAAGAGACATCGATCAATACCGGCATTGACAATCTTCGTCGTTTATGCGCCGACATCAAACCATGACGAAAAAGAAGTGAAAGCGTTCTATATGGACTTGGAGAAGTTCTACAGAGAAGGCCATACATTCTTCAAGGTCATCATTGGAGATTTTAACGCTAATACTGGACCAAGAAGAACGTCTGAGGTAAGTCACATTGGGGCCCACGGATTAGAATGGAACGGAGAGAGTGAGCGGCTCTCTGAGTTTATCATAGCGACCAAGACAATCCATGGTAACTCGCAATTCCAGAAGCCCCACCCTCAATGCTGGACGTGGGAGTCTTCCAATGAAGAGTACCATAACGAAATAGACCACATCATAGTAAATAGGTTATTTTCCATAACCGATGTCGCTGTTGCCCCAAAATTCTACACGCAATTAGACCAATGTCTCCTTCATGCAAGATTGTATTTCTCGCGGAAAGGAAAACAAGCCGCTAAATTCCAAAACCGAGGTCCCAGAACCACTGCAAACTGGGACTTATTCAATTCATTAGTCGGCTGTTGGGAAGGTGCCGTTGTCGATAACATCGACGAAAAATACGATCGGCTCGTTCAACATCCTCACGTCAGCGCTATGAAAGCTGAGAGTTCGAAAATCGCCAGGAGACGTCTGTCTCCAGAAACACACGAGCTGATACGTCAGCGTGGAATCGCAAGACCTGCAGGCAACCGCGAACTAACGTCCAAGATAGCCACGTCCACCTTCCGCCATACCATGGATACGATGGATATGTTGTACCACCGGTTCTCCCTTCCGAAATCCGACATGCCACTTCGTCGGTGAAAAATTGAACAGCAGCAGGTCCGGATAGGATAAGACCAGAACACCTGTAGAACCTTCCACAGTGCTCGTAAACACACTGGCTCGGCTCTCCACACATTACCTGTATGAATGCGAGGTCCCTGCTCAGTGGAAGACCAGCGAGACCGTGTTCTTGTTCAAGAAGGGTGACCTACACGATAAAGGCAACTATCGTCCAATCTTCTTGTTGCCTGTCGTCTGCAAACTTTTCACTCTAGTCGTTCTAAACAGGATTGACAGAACACTAGATGAAGAACAGCCATGTGAGCAAGCAGGGTTTCGAAGAGAAATTTAGTACGATGGACCACATCCACACGGGAACACGGCTCATTGAAGCATCGCGAGGGTACAAACGACCGCTTTGTCTCACTTTCATCGATTTGAAGAAAGCTTTTGACTCAACTGAGATAGACGCAGTCATGGAACCCTAGTCAGTACATAAAGATTATTCGTGAGTTGTACAAAAATTTCACAACGAAGATATCAGCATTCTACAACGATATTAACATCGACGTCAAAGGAGGGGTTAGGCAAGGTGATTCTATCTCGTCAAAATTATTCACCGCCATCCTCGAGAACGTCATGCAAGCATTGGAATGGAATAATATGGAAGTGGAAATCGACGGTCTGCAATTACACCATCTTCGCTTTGCTGATCACATCGCCCTTATAACACCAAACATTAGCCAAACGGAACGCATGCTGGCCAACCCGACTTTAGTAAAGCTTGTGGAAAAATTGGTTTTTGACTAAATCTCACGAAAATGATGTTTATGAGGAACGCATTGGCTTTGTATGCCCCGCTCACGCTCAACGGAGCGAATATCTCCGAATGCTCCGGTTATATCTATATCTATACCTACTATATTTTTCACGGCGGGGTATTATACGACACACAGTCACAGTGATGCTAAGATATTTGCACAACTCCGGACCACAGGTGTCTGCGGTGGGAAACGGACGTGCTAATGTCTTTTCCGGGGAGTAATGCATTCACCATCACACCGTGCGGGTCCTTCGTTTCATCTGTCTCTTAGCTAGTTCTATCGATTTTTGCCTTCGGCAATGACCGTCAGCGGGATTGATCTGGGAAGCCCAAATCGGCAACGAACCCCGTTAGGCTGATGCTTCAGTTATAATGACAAAAAGATCGATAGAACTAGCTGAGAGACAGGCGAAACGAAGGACCAGCGTGGTGTGGTGGTGAACGCGTTACTCACCAGAAAGGACAATAGAGCGTTCGTTCCCCACCGCAGACACCTGCGGTCCGGAGTTTCGCAAATATCTCAGCATCATTAAAGTTAAATTTCGCAATTTACCCTGCCATTAAAATGAGTAGGCAGTAAATAAATAAGTTAAAATTTGTACTTACTGCGTTAACGTATGCATCAGAAACCTGTTCAATTCGTAAGCAGAATGAAAGATCACTCAGCACTGTTCAACACGGAGCCGAAAGATGAACCTGAAGGCATTCCATGTCACACAAGTAGGATAAAGGTTCCTACTTACCGGTCTGCGTCAACGATCAAAAATCAAGGATGTCGTTCTGTACGCCAAACAGTCGAAGATAAGGTGCGCCGGACAAGTAGTTCGTATGAACGACAACGGATGGACAAAAGTCGTTAGTGGCTGATCCTCTGGACGTTAAACGCACTGCAAGAAGACCACCGACCCGATGGTCAGAGTTCTTCACGAAGAGCCTAGAAGAAAGATATGATGCTCAGCGAGTTCCTAGAGAGAGGAAAACCCACTGAGCTACTCTTGGGTTAGACGGAAAAATGGAAGATTTACTGGCGCCCACTCGAATCACTCGACCATCAGCAGAACTACGGGTGACAGGTGAAGTAACTATCTTTGGTGGTTTTGCACCTTTTTCTTCGTCATAGTTGGCCAGCATTTCATGAATATGGCCGATCAAGAAAACAGAAAACATCTAATCGTTTACTGTTTTCACTGTTCTTAATTGCTCTATGACGAAATGTGGTCTTCTGGCGACTTCTATGATTTACTTCATGTAAGATACTTGTTATCCCGATTCCATAGATTTTCTTGGTTGCAAATTATTAGTCAAATATATGATTAGGTTGCTCGATGCCATATTTTGTCAACATAACATCACTTCCTCTACTTGTGTTGTTTTCGCAGAACTATCATGGATTTGGTTGCCTCCATTGGTTTACCTTGAAATCTCAGCACATTCGTACTAGAACGCCCTAAAAATTTTTCCACGTTTGGCACTTATTCCAGGTTGGGGAACGTTTGCTGCCTTGCGACTTCAATTCTTCCATGACGAGAACGAGTCCTCTAAAATTAGTGAAACCTACAGATTATCGACCAAACACTCGAAGACGGTGTAACATTATCAAACCTAACCTTTTAAATATTTTCGATGGAATGTCTCGGGATATTGTAGAAAGGACGCTTACGAATTCCCAAGACAGACCTCCTATTGACCTTAGCGTTATTAAATAACCCACTATTTTCTTGGTAACTACGATGCTGTTATTATACGATGTAATCATAATAACTGTCGTTTTTGTGCATTTCGTTTTCTTCATAGCTGAGAATGGTCGTGTTAACTGCAACCTAGGAGGCAAAATGCCTCCATGACCTAAACAGGAAACATCTCACGCTGTAATATCAGTCTAAGATATTGTATGAGAAAGCTCAAACTAACCTGTGCGAAAACAGGTATACCACTGAATGGTACCAAAAATCAAGTAGCATAGAGCCACTGATCCATTGTCTCTGCTCTCACTCTTCAAGCCTAAAAATGGCAACTGTGAGAAACATGTTTCAAACAGTAACAAATGTGTGCACGGAACACAGCAGAAAGAGGAACACCTAAAATACCGGAAAGGTAGCCGCTTCCAACGACTATGGAGCTGGAGGTTCGCGAGATAGGTTTGGAGGAAAAACCACGCTTCCAAACGGCATGTCTAGCAAGAATGATTTCCTGTTTACCCCGCCGTTCATTTCCAACGTAACAAGCGAGGCTACCAAACGTTTCTTGTAAGAGGCTGATGAAGAGAAATCGGCAGCAATGATTGAATTACCCACGAACACTCTGACAAGCTATCTAGATCGTAACCATGTGTATGACCTTGTGTGTACAGCACAACATCGCATGATTTGCTCTAACGGTAGAGCTGGCGATTGTATGAACTCGAGTACGGTGCATCTGTTCTTTTGCAGAGCGTACGGGGTTGAATATTTTGGCGAAGTGGGAGAGCACTCCACGTCCGTATAAAAGAGCACCTATACGGTAAGCATTGAGTTAAGTAAAATCTTCCACAAGGCGTGTGTAAGCTACTGGGCCTGACAAAGAAGTCTTTGAAGTAGAAGTGTTCTCGCACAGGAAGCGAGAACTTCAACGCGTAAAATCTTCAAGGCGTTTTGGATAAACTGCAAAAATCCAAAAATGAATCACAGCCAGAAATTCCTCGCTATCGCACGTAATGATACCCGATATCTCAGAATGAAATTTACCGTGATAGAGACACCAACCATGTGAGTCCTATACATGTCATCAGTTGGTCTCAAAATGGAAGAGTCATTGGTAGACTCATAGAGGGGTGAAGTGTGCGAAGAAGCTATGTTGTTTTCAATACGTTTGAAATCTTGGTTTTGTTATACCTTTTTATTTTCTGCCTACTATAATTTCGCGGCAGGGTACTAAGCGAAATACAAACACAACGTTGCTGAGATATTTGCACTATTATATGTTGGCATATATTGACAGGCGAAACAAAGGACCCGCATGGTGTGGTGGTGAACGCGTTACTCCCCGGAAAGGACAATAGCACGTTCCTTCTCGACCATAGACACCCGCGTTCCAGAGTTTTGCAAGCACCTCAGCAACGTCTTGGTTTTGTGTTTTTTCTCTTCTGGTTATGGAGGTATTTGGCTGACTAGTTGGCAGTTGCAGTTGCCATATGGATTTTTATTAAATCAGTGGTAAATGATGATGAGAAGTAAAAGCATAAAAAGGAAGATGATTTCTTATGTAAACTTTAATGTGAAAATGAAGTAGGTTGCTAAACTGTTACTACTATATTGGAATTGGAACACAGTCCACCGGAAAAACATGGCCAGGGTAGCGCAGTGTTAGAGATCGCGTTCGCTCATTTGACGCCGATACAATCCAAGCAGACCTCTCATCTCTTCGGAGTCAGGGTATTGGTACCTAACATGTCCGGAAAGCTCGTTCCGATCTAAGAATGCTGCGATGAGCAGCTGGAAGCGCTATAGTATTCCTAGGTTTCCTTGACAATCAACATACACCACATTCGTAAACAAGATAGCGTCTCCTAGCCGCTGCCAACACACTCTAAATTAGCAAATCCTTTTTAAATAAGAAGACGAATCAAATAGGAAGAGTGCAGAAACCGTTACCATATGTGCAGTTCACCATAGAAATAAACAAATGGGGTAACTGCATTGCCAATTTGTAAATCGAGCCACGCTGAACCCGTCCCATCACCACCAGCGCTCATCTCATCAATCAACGGTCGGATTTTAACCTCTTTCAAGAATTTACTGCTCAACGGACTTGTTATTTTCGATCTTTAAATCTTTATTTTAAAAAATTGCAGCGTCAAAAAATTCGAGAGCTCAATAACAAGCCAAACATGGTTGGGTTTCTCAATAAAAAGAATTGCAGCTGAAATCGAAACCTTGGTTTCGTCTTTGGTTTTATTTCACATAACCCAAAAGCGGTACACAAAATCAAAAACACAGAGAATGATACAATAAAAAAAAGCACTAAAAATTGCAATACAGGTAAACCGGTTAATAAAAATGTTTCATTACAGAAGAATGCTCAGCTTTTCGACTTATGGGTTTCAGTAGCTTTATTCATTTGCAGTTTACGTCCTTTGAGCATTGAATATCTCCGATGTCTTGTCGGACTTGACTAGAAAGACAAATCGCGTTTATCAATGAACGGGCAAGAAATTGTTAGTAAGTTTAGTGAATTGCTGGAAAACATCACTGTGTTAAAAAAATGGCTTACCTTAAGTAGGTCTTCAATCATGAAACCAATCCTGCGCTTCTTAGGTGGTGCCTTCAGCGGTGTTTCCACTATAGGTGCCAGCGCTACTGTACTGTCGGAAATGTTCTCTTGCTTAGGCGCTTCTGGTGTGAGCACTGGAGGGGGTGTCGAACATTGTTGGCTAGAACTTGGAAACGATGCGGCATAGACGTATGAAAGAGATAAGATGACTTCAAAGGGAGAGTGAGAGTGTGAAGGAGAAATGACTTAAAAATACTTCTTTTAAAAGCAAACCTAGAGATCTGCCGGATATTCTTTTTCCTTTTGTATTCTGTAATGTTCTCCTGATTTGCAGAGTCCGTGGTGTTTTGCTTGATTTCTAACTTGGAAGTGCTTTTATCATTGCCGAAACAGCGCTAAAGTTCCACAAAACACTATTCTGCTTTAAAAACTTATCTCTAAACGCCTAAGGGTAAATAAACCAGCGTTCTTTCTCGAGGCACTAAAATAGCACCAACCTCATACCATTCATCCACCTCACTATCAAACTCTGATGCGCGATTGATTAATTGGTCCGATTTATCCTAAATATCTGGCAATATATATATATATATATATATATATATATATATATATAGCGCCCATTTCGGAACATACGCAATTTTGCAGAGGTAGTTGGCAATTTTTTACAAGTAGGAAGAAGTTTGGAGGCTGGTTGTATATACAAAATAATAAAGGGCTAAAAATAAGAAAGGCTAGTTGTTTTTTACGTGATGTATTCGTCGCATATGACTGGTTACATGAAATTTATCATAGAATGATGAATGAGAGCAATGCGGACACTGGAATAGGGGCCGTCGCACGTGATGTTGCAGAAGGTGACGTCTTGGTCCTGAAAAACGAGTAATAGCGAAAGAAAAAGTTCTACTTAAGCTTACAGAAGACCTGCCAAGTGACTCATTTCGGGATAACGAGTATAGAATGACGCTACCAAAATCTGTGTTCAACTAATCATATCTTTTACTACCGTTCGCCTTACTAATCCATAAATGGCGTTTCCCGGATCGTTAGCATCTTGATTTACCTTGACTCCTTTTTCCTGCCTTGGTAATATCAACTTTGCACACGAAGCAGTATGTCTTCTTATAACCACGAACCACATTACGAACAACTGGTGTTCTGGAACTCGATGACGACGAGAGAAAACCCGAATCTGTCTGGAATGTCATACCGTGGAACTAGTTGTGAAAAGTGTATAAATTGAGGGCAAATAAGTAAATAAGAGATAGTGAGCAAACATTACGTCAAAGAAGGAGGAATAGATGTAATTCAATGCTATAATATTTTGCTGAATGGTCACAAAACCCTGATTTCTATTCAAATTTCTCCAAGACAATGGTGTGCTGTAGAAGTTTCGGTATAATTTTGAAAATCATTCCAGGAACTTTCCAATAACATTACTACCTTGTCACTTCAAACTGCGAGGACACCAACACGTAGTTTTTATAGCTTTCAGAATTGAATGGGAACACTGTTTTTATTTTGTTGTCGTGCCTATTCATTTAGCTGTTTTACTTAGCTCTTTCGTAAATGTGGTCCTTAAGATGAAACCATTAAAACAAATGCTCTGTTACGTTTATCCAAAACCATCCACTTATACTTTGTGCTACTAAAAATCATTAAGATTCATTACCTTCGTTTTTGACCAAGTATAATGTGAATATAATTTGATAACTCACTAGTGGTGTGCTTCCAGATGTTATCTGCGATGGAAGAAAATGTTTACTCATGTCGGATTCTGACGATGAATCGCAGAGAAATGATGCTGATCGACTGGTGAAGGTGGTGGAGAGTTTTCCAAGACTTTCATTATCGTTGTAACATAAGGAGTACTGTGAGTAGATTCTGGATGAGATTAGTGGTGTTGGTATTTGTGGATAAAAACCGGCATACGGCGTCGATGTGAACATTTCTGCAAAAAAAAGAAAAAGAAAACACGAGAATCTTGACCATCCAGACACTATTCAGTAATACAAAATTCTTCTGTTGAACGAATGGTGTCCATGTTTTGATAGGTCGTTGCTGTAAAATGCAGCCGTATCTAATGGAAATCCTGCAATCATCTAAATGCTGTAGATTGTAGACGACTTGGGCAGATTTGCAAAACGATTTCGAGCTAGATACATCGTGTTATAGTTCCCTTTGTCCTTCAAATAGCACTATTTCAATTAGATTTGGTATTACTCACACGAATCGGCCTTTTAAATTACGTATTGTTTAAGGGTGAAAACTAAACCATACGGTTTTTTGTTGAACTGGCGTAAGCTGGCACTCGTTTCCTCGAGCAAGACCGATCTTTTGACGTTGACTGAAAATTGTTGTTCAGGTTGTTCAGCGGTATATACCCATTATAAAAAAAGGGAGAATAAAGACATGACGCATGACGCTACACCGAATTGTGAGCAAAGAAATAAGAAACAAATTTAAAGAAGATTGCTTGAAATCGTGGAAAGGATACTATTGTATTCACCTCATCACGTAGTACTTCTGAAATATTCATTAGTTCAGTATCCGGGCTCTTTTAGGCTGCAACCAATTGCAGAAGTGCTAAAAATAGGAATCAAAGGGTTTGTAAGTACTGTAAAATGGTAAACAACAATCATTATTGTGAAAGGCGTGAATTCTAGGAAAATGTACTTCACATTTACATGAAGTTATTTGGACCAAGAATAGCTGGAAGGACATCATAGTTGAACACTTACACTTTGGTCCAAAAAACCTTTGTAGTCTTCTTTTTGTAGATTTACGTTGGCATAGATTAATGTCGTCAACTATAATCGTGCAGCAAACAATATTGTAATGTAGATATCGATTGAGTGTACTACAAAACTACGGAAAAAGAAAATACCTGAGACACAGCTCTGTTAACTTGTGCCGATCTGAAACAATTGTAAGAATTCGCCGTTATTTCTCGACTTTATATATGACCTCCATCATTGCTCCCTTTATTGTCGCTTGTAGTCATGTTTTTGCTGCGCCTAATGTGACAAAACGTCCTACGGTCAGCAGTACACGGGTCGGACGAGTTCACACTTCAGCGATTCCTCTTGGCAATTAGTTGATTTCAGGTCGCACCTCTGTGTGATTCGTTGAATTTGGGTCGGATAGACGATATTCCGACGGACGACGCCGACCTCAGAACCTCACATCGTGACATTCTCAGGACAACAAGTAATGATAGCCGATAGCGCATCTATGAAAACCATATCGTTCTCGATTAATTGAATATGAGCAGCTCGCAGTTGTTCAGTTTATTGTTGAAAGATTTCCACTAACAATTAAATAACGGGAAACATTATACAGTGAACTAAGAGTTAATGAAAAGTGCTCAAAGAAATTCTGTCAGCGAAGTCGGTTTTGTGATGCATCCAGGTTTCAAGTAGGGACTTGATTAAGGAACGATCTTCACGAAAAATACCTATCATTGTGCTAATAAACTGACAAGCTTAAACACGATAGCAATACAAACATAGTTGAAATGACTGTGGTTAGAATGATAACTCTTATCAATACTAAACCTTGAAGGTGGGACCATTTCTGTTAACCAGCTTCAACATACAGTTAGTGTTTAATCATATAATGTGTTATAACTTTTCACCGACTTAAGGAATTGTGCTTATGTGCAATCTCTTAAGCATCAGTGCCGGATATGGCAATCCATTAAATAGTAGCTACCATATCTTCAAAGGAGAAGAAATTCTTCAGAATGACGATATGGATGCTTTTTGGTGCTAAGCAGGACGCACATGCGGCTTTGGAGAAATTCTTGTTTGCTGCTGAAAACGCCAAGAGGTTGGAGACCTTAAAGTGCTTTATTCTCGCTTTTCAGCACTAAAGCAAGGTATTGGACCCATTTGTTCGATATTCTTTACGCGATCCGTCCTCACAACTACTATGCGGTTCCCAGCGCTTGTTGCCTTCGATTTATTTCCTCGCGTCAATCATCCACGAAGGCTTTTGGCTTTGTGTTTGGATTCGGCTGCTGCTCGAGGATTGCCTTCTTAGGTATGAATGTTGGTGATGTTGGTCGAGTCGATCATCTTCCGAGTCCTAAGATAGCCGAGCTTTCAACTCGAATTGGAGAGAGTGAGTTGCTTCCAGAAAAGTCAGACACTAATTTCCTGACTCTGGAAGGATGAGAGGATTTGTGAGCACTGGTACCGGCTTAAACCAGCATAATGTTTGTGAACAACGGCATTACAACCACTATCCATCTTCTCCATTTGATGAATTTCAATGAATCACAGGAAAGAAAAAGTGGGAAAACAAAGAGAAGAAGAAAAGAGAGCGAAAAATATAATAAGGAATTAGGACGGAATACGCAACTTTCCAAAAAAAACATCAAAAAAGTACAAAATAATAAGCGAAAGCGAGAGCGAATATCCTTACAACCAGTTTGAATCCTTCCAAATTCACACCAATTGGATCATAATCGCTGTTATGTAAATGACGCACAGCACTGTCTAATCATGTAGAGAAAAAGAAGAGGAAAAAAAAAGAACTGAAATGGACATACCATTGTAATTTGCAACTGAATTCTTCTTTTGCCTGTTTTTCGGAACACAACAGGTTTAACACCTCAGAGTCCATACGGAAGCTTAGCAGTGGCTAGTTTTAGAGAACACCTCGGAATGGCAAAACTTCTCACTAAGAAGCAAAAAATTAAACGCTTTCTCTCGCCTATCTATCCACCGTGGAAAGAGAATTTCGTACCAACTACTTTCTATCAACGATTATTCAGCAGAGGAACGACGTAAGCATATCCTTTTATTTCAAGCCTCCTTATTTCTTCCGTCTCAAGCCAAATGCTAGAGAGCTTTGCTTCGTTTTCCCATGAAAGATCAGTAACCGACTGCGATTTGTAGTGCTACGCGTACACCAACCCTTGCTTAAAAATTGTTCTAAAAGTCGTAATTGTGCTTGATGTTTTTAAAAATTCCGATAACGATATGGCGCCATTCTGTTTCGAGTTCTCTTCCGTCTATTAACCCGCCTTTTTTTTTTGATACAAAGCGTTTTTTCGGGACTTTTCTTCAATTATTGCGAGTTACAGTTTTCTTGGAGTGGTCGGTTGGATGTTGCTGAACAAGAAAGCCCGTGACAAATATCTACCTATAGTTCCACAGTTCCATTCTGTACCCATACCGCTTACTACTAACAGAATGTCAGTTGGGATAATATCTTTTTCTAAGCTAAAACTTATAATAGTTACCAGGATCGACTTTCTATTAACCTCGGCATTGGAATTTGGAATGCGTCGTTTTCTTGTTCAGCAATCGCAAGGTTGCTAAACAGCATACATTCACTTCCATAGAAAAACACAATACAACACAACAGTAGCTGACGGTTTGGCAGTATCGCCTTTTTTAGCGCCTGGAAGGGTACACAGTTGTATTGTATTGTGTTTTCCTAAAGAAGTTAAAGCATACTGTTTAACAACCTCGCGATTGCTGAACAAGAAACGACGCATTCGTATCTACCCATACTTTCCGCTCCGCTATACCCAAATATCACTGTGTAATCCTCAAGCATTTTTGGCTGCGTGTCTGCTCAGCATTCTGAGTTTTACAGATTTTATTACTTGAATGTTTCAACTGTGAGGATGAGAAGGTCTTTATCGATGTCTTTCTCTATAGAAACAACTATTCTTCCACTATTTGCACTTTTTGCCAATACATTTTTCCTCCGGTCATCATTTCTTTATCACCGCAGTGTTCACAGTTCGTCTGACTTTACAATTCCGTTACTGACATCATGCCGTCGGCAAGAAAATCCGTTTGATAATGTCTCCCTCACTTGACCTCATGTAAGGTCAACCCTCTAGTAAAGAAAATTTGTGAACAATCAGATAGGACGATGAAGGGAGGGAAACAAGAGGGGAATAGGGATGGAGGAATGAAGGACATTTAAAGTGAATCTACTGATCAATCAGCACGTCAAGTATAACTTAAAACTCTTGACATTGGTTTCGAATTGGCACAATTTTATTGTACGCGCTGTAGTACTGTAACTAGTGGACAATTTGTTCTAGTAAAGTTTTTGTGTCGGCTTTTTATATTGAATTTGGTTAAAATTTCCTGGCAAATCTTTCTTATAGAGGCTTCATAAACGCATGGGCTGCAAATGCACTAATGCGGTGATCGGGTTGTTACAGAAACGAAAAAGAGTTACCTTTTCACAAGAGTAACCTACTTTTAATTTTGGCATCATAAAAGTCTAGGAAATTTGGGTTTGATATGATACTTGTCGAATTATTTATTTGCTTTCGTAGTTTGAATACGTACCTCTCAATGGCCCCAGCATACAGTCCCCTGGACTTTAGTGTTGAGGTGTGAGAGCGATCGTTTCCGGCGATCAAAGTGAGCTACAGTAGAGCAAAATAAAAGAAAGCTCTCGGCGTTGATCAGTCCCTGAGGGATGAGCCATCCATTTGATCATTAAGCGTTGTTTGGAGGTGATTAAATGCACATCTGGTCATTACAATGAATCGCGGTGAGCTACCGATATATTGAGCCAGTTCCGCTATCCTCCCAGACAAGTTTGGTACTAATTTGCCGACCCCGGTGGGGTGGAAGACTTAGTGGACCAGAGGCGCGAGGATCGACCCAATGTGTGTGTTGCAGGGCTCCTACGTGAGCCATACGCGCCCTTCATAGTAGGGTAAATATGTAAAATGAAAGAAACAAGAAGCGAAAATTGAATACCAAGCGAAAAACCGCCAACAACAGGGAAAACATGGTGGCACGTCTGTTGCGGAACATCATCACCGTGGAGATTTTCGGCTTGGTGATGTACTTCATTCTTGCCTATAAATACGCGACTAGACCGGAGAAGTGAGTTTTACGGTGGTCGTGTTGACCAAATAATTTAAATGTTCGATTAATTCATTACGACAGTACAAGTGGGATTTATTTACTTTCCTATAGCTGTAATCGGCTTAGCGAATTGAATCTATGAAATAAATGCTTACGTTTTTCAGACCTGATAAAAGTGAGATTTATAGGTTTAGTTCATAACCACGATGTCTCTCACAGCTTTTTCATTCCTCTAGTACTCTCTTCACCTGTTTATTGGTTTATTCTATTCATTTAATTAACAGTCCTTTTCGGACTGCAACAGCGCGAATCAATTTGCATAAATCCCACAACCGACTTTCTATTAACCTCGGCATTGATCAAGTAATTCTTCGTGTTCTTGTTGAGCAAACGCGAGGTGTTATTTCATTCCTCATTCACGAATAAGCCGATGTTTCGGCGGATTTTGCCTTCCTCAGAGCCGCTTTCTATGAGTCTTCCACTGAGTATGTCGCGTGGAGACCAACTGCACAGCATTCACATGAAAACGTAATGTCGCTTTATTATATAATACATATATATATATATTTTGCATTACGCATCCAAGAATACGAAAAATTTGCATAGGTCGAACAGTGCACATGAGGTATATGGTAGTGCGCTCAGCCGTCTGCATTTACGATGTTCAACCGTCAAACCGTGTGTTCATTATGTCAAAGAAAATGTGAACAGTTATAAAGCATGACAGGATTCTCATTCTTGGTATATTCGACGTGGACAATCACTTAGTTAACAATTTCGCTCTTAGAAGATTTGTCGAGCAAAGGCGCTTTTAGAAACGGAACCATTCCCGAAACGAATACGAGCTTTCATGTCTGATTTCGAATTGTTAAGTTAACTAATTTCAGTATAGGTATGGTGTTATCGATCATCATCCACACTTTTCTCGTGCTTATGTTTGTGTTTCCATCAGTGAGTGCTTCAGCTATTCACTTTTTTCCTTGTACGTTTAACCAGTATGTGGCAATAAGAGCAGCTTGTTCAAAAGAGTGAAAGCTTAACATCCATTCTAGCAGTATTACTTCATTTATTGTATTAATTTCTATGAATATGAGTAGAAGAAAATCATTGAATGTAGCAACAGCGGCTATAACGAGAGCTCTTCTGATAAATTCCTTTGTTATAACCTGTCACAGTCAGCTTAAAATTCTCTGTTTACATGATAGAACAATTTTCATGAAGAACTTGTGAAGCGTATTCAACAAAGAGCTAAAGCCACAGTTGTGTTGAAACTTCTTTGATCATCTTTCAAAATGAATGGGCGCCAGGTCCATCACTGGTTCAACAGCATTTCGTTCTGAAGATATAATGTTGTCATGCAGGCCAGGTTATTAACTATTAGCTCTAGCGGGTCGGGAAAGCCCTGCCAGTAAGTAGCTCGTTCCTGAGCTGTGCTTATTTTCGTGGTTTAAATGGCAACTCGTGCTTATTTCTTCATTAGTTCTATTCCAACAAGAATCAAGAATTATGAGCTGTGAAAGTACATGGAATGACTAGATCTTTTCCACATCATTTCTATATTACAAGAGGTAGCGAGAACCCCATATATCCATGAGCCGCCTATAGTAATTCCAGAAAACGAACTTTCGTTTGGTGCTCTTAATAATTTTTTGTATGTACTTTTCAAGTTTTCCTGTGACTTTTGCAGCTACCATTTGCTGAAGTGGTGTTGGGTTTGTTGCACTGGTAGGAAGCCTCAGTTTTCTTCTCTGATTGGCACCTCCTTGGTGGTGGAGATGCGATAGTAATTCCTTGTTTGCAGAACTGAAACGTGTTAGGCCAACAGCGTGCAATTCTTGGGCAGATTTTTTCTTGATTCACCAGTCATATAGAGCAAGAATTCCACCCAAAATTTTTCTTTGCGTGATTTATCCATTCCTTCTCGGGTAATGTCCTTTCTCTTTCAGCTTACGAGTCCAAGAAAAATGGCTGCGATTCAGTACAGAATGGTATCACTGCAGAGTCGTCAAGAACACACCATCTTCTCTTTGACAAGATATGACCGATTTCCACATGAACCTCGCCACTATGTTGTTTTCTCCTATGACTGTCACTGTTTTTTCTCAGGCAGCAAAATCATGTTGAAATGACATTCTATGAATGGGAGATCCACCAGATAATTTCCATCCACACATCAGTCTCTCATGGCAAAATTTCTTGTTTCTTATCAACTATTTTTAGCTTTTCCTGTTGAATTCGGGTCCTTCCACAGCAAATATGTGAAAAGGAAGCACAACGTCTTAACTTCTATTCTCTTCCTATCCTCTTCTAATGGCCATGTACGATGTGTACACAACCACAAGAATGCTAAGATATGAGCTAGATTCGGATCCCAGGCTAGCTTCGAAGCCATAGTTACATTTACCTTCACGTGCTATCCACCACACCATCTGAGGCTCTTGGCTTTCCTTTCACCTATGTTTTACTCTATCGGTTCTATCAGCCACTTTTTTGCTACTTTTTTGCTGGTATCATCGATAGACGATGAAAGACAAAAACATGGATGAGAAAATGGCAAACCAAGGGCATGTCATCGATTGGTGTTGTGGATAGCACGTAAGCTCTCTGTAAGAGTAATTGCGGATCAGCCTATTGAGGTTCCGGGTCCTATTCATACCTCAGCATCTTTGTGGTCACGTGAAAGAATTTTTGTTCGGGATTACTTTCTCATAAGAGCATGTGGTAGGAATGACAGGACTCTCGCCATTTAACTAGCTTATAGTAGTCTTCTTGCTTTTGGTCTTCTGTTAGGCGATTACGTGAAATTTTGCATTCCTCGTGGTAATTTTAATTCATGACAGGAATCAGCAGTTTTTCTGCTTTGTCGGGTGTTGTTTTGACCAGACTATAGCGAAGATTTATGCAAGCCGAAAGTTAATCGCCTCTCAAACGTCATGTCATCACCCGACGTCGTAAACGGCAAAGCCCAGTGTTAAGGTTACAGCGGCTGGTTTATTGCTAGTTATTACATTGGTTTTAGGTGCATTCCTATGCTATAGCCTTGTTTGAGCGTTCTCACGGCGTCACCACAGGTAACGGCATCACCTTGTGGATGGGGAAGTCGTTTGCTAACTTGAAACTAGGTATTTTTGTATTTTTCAAACCAGTGGCGTTTTCCCGAATTCTTTGCTGTTCGCTGAAGCTAGAGATGACTCTTTCCTTCGCGACTGCTAAACGATTCTGGAAGAATGAAATCTTTGCCGGAGGAGTGTGAGTGGAAATGAGAATTTTTTCGATAAGGTGTTTATTACTGCACTTATAAATGTACCGGAATGATAGAAAAGATAGTTGTTAAAAATGGTGGTCGTGCATGATATCGTGGAAATCATGTTGTACACAAACGAAGACGACGCGTTTCCTAACGGTACTGGATTTATAACACCAGTATATTTGAAGGTACCTCTTTTGGACCGGCGTAATGCTACGGCCCACAGATGAGTAGCTACTTAATAATTGTAAGACCGATATATTCATTTCAGTTGATGAGTTATTTCATGCTCGCTGTTCATCGAATGCTCAGCACCAAGTTGCGCACTTTGTTGTTGCTCATTATGATATCAAAATCGTTTGAGGTTGGTCAGCACAGTGAAAAGATTGCCATTTTTATTATTATTATTACTACTTATTTGCCCTCTTCCTTACTTGGTACTTAATACTTGAACGGCCTGTCCTCAATAGTTGTTCGAGCCCAAGCATAATCTCCATTTTTCGGAGATTTGCTGATTAAGCCATTGTGGTTTCCTGGAATCCCGAGGTCAGCCTGGCCAAAGTCTGCCCCAGGTCTTCATCACCACAAACAGTTAGGGTCTTAGTGGATCAGAGGGAGATTTGCCACCATGCGACTTTAATACCAGGACGGTGGTGGATCCCGGTAATGGTTTACTCTTAGGCTTTGTGGTGGAAACGCCGGACTCCTTCTCAGCTTGGGAGACTCTGCCAGGGGATGAATTACCCGTTAAACATCGCAGTCCGATACCTCGGAACACCTCCCAGCCACGATGAGGCGGCTACTTTACTTATACTTACTTATATGTACTTGAATAACAGAATAGTGCGAATTAATAGAGAACCATGCAAGCAGTAGTATGATTCAATCCTAATTTAACTAGCAAATTGCTAGTTGTGCAAAATCACGAAATAGCCATTCAAAGGCTTTCTGAAGTCACTACTGGAGACAGTTAGCTGCTAATATGGAACTGAGAAAGACTTACCGTCTTGTGAAGAGGTTATGAACGACTGAAAATTACTTACTCCTAATACATCGTTTGAATGGAAGTTTCGAATCCCTCATAACTTGAGAAGTATCTCACGTTATTGACAGGCAGATGTAAGCTGCCGTTTGGCATCTAGGAAAAGCCCCAGTCGAGATGTTTTGATGCGAAAGACTGTTAGGGTGTTATTACTATTTTTATTATTATTATTATTACTGTTGTCGTTATTATCTAAATGGTATCATTAACAGTTATCGTGGATTTTATTGGGCTTACGGGCTAATTTTTAGGGCCCAGCAATGAATGCCGTGATGAATATCCATCATGTTGCTGAAGGTTTGGCGTGTGTTCAGACGGATGTCAGCGTGTCGTTAGGCGATGTCAAGGATAGAGCGAGAAACCTTAAAGGGGTTAGTGTTAATTTTGAATAAAACGAAGAACAAGTATAGGGTAAGAATAAGGCAATAACAGTTGTTCATAAAAGTGGTCAGAAGAACTAACAAAGAGTGAAAGTTCTTTGGTAATGCAAGTATAAAGTGGGAAACTAGCACCTTCTTATTCGATTCCCAGCTGTTTCTCATATGATGGATCACTTCGTGGTACGGAAAATTACACATCTAAACTCTTTTTCTTAAATATTCATAAAATCCAACTTTAGTTTCTATACAAAGAGCACTTTATCGATCGATTTCAATGTGTAGATTTGAGTAATCGATTTCTTCCACACATATGAACAATTCAGAGGTTGAAAGCACACGCACCTACTATTTTGGCTTTTCACATTATTTCTTTGTAATGAAATTACTTCCAACAATTGGTGCTAACGCCTTTTTCCACCTGTTTACTACTTTGTCATGCAAGTGGATTTGTTCCAGATTATTGCAAATAAACTACAAGACCTGATGATAAAACTGGTTGCACCAATCAATAATTTCCGTAGTATTCTCAGAAAGATCGACACGAAAGTTCGTAGGTAATGTCAAGATTTCGGATTAATCGTGCATTTTCTTAGACGAGAGTATTTCTCGAGTCACATACAAGTAGTTTTTCAGCTGGTTTCGATGGTTCATATAGAGGTTCGTATAGAGCTTCTAAGGGCGTGTGTGGCACAGTAGTTGGAGGCGCTACTGCGACACACACGTGGAATCGGTCCCCGGGCCCATGGCCTACCAAGCCCTCCATCCCTCCGCTGTCTGCAAATTGGTACCAGACTTTTTTGGGAGGATAGCAGCACTGGCTCGGCACATCGATAGGCCACCGCGAGTCATTGTAAAGGCCAGATATGCATCCAATCACTTCCAGCGATACTTAATCAAGTCGAATTCATTACGCATTCCTCAAAGATTGATCAACGCCGTGAGGTTTATCGAGCAATATATTGGCTCTTTGTTAATTATTTAATTTTCTACTACTTTTAGAATCGTCGAGTCAATACGAACACAATACCGAGCTCTCACATCACTTACCAATCTCTGTCAACGTTTCATGAAGAAACCCTACGCACTTGTATGTGTTTTGCCGCAGATACAGAAAAGTTACCGTAGTCGCGTTATTAATTAACACTAACATTGGGAAAGGGCGCATGTGGCACAGCGGTCGGAGGCGCCCTGCAACACGTGGAACCGATCTCCGCGCCCATGGCCCACCAAGCCCTCCATGCTATCGGGGTGGGGAAATTGGTACCAGATTTGTCTAGGAGGAAAGCAGCACTGGTTCGATACATCGGTAGGCCACCGCGTGTCATTGTAAGGTCAAATATGCATTTAATCGCCTCCAACGATACTTAATGAAGTCGAATGCATGACGCATTCCTTAGGAATTTATCAACACCGAGAGCTTCATCCTTTATTTTCTTAACACCGAGAAGCGGGATAACTTTATCTCACACGTGACGTGCTGCAATGTAGCCGGTATGGATGTATATCTATTCACTCGTAACCGTTTTAATGACTTACCCTCTAAGCTCTAAATGGGTATATCTCAATTCGTGGTGACCTTTTCCAATTTGAAAAAGAACTGTGGAATCTGAACACCTTTACCGAAGATATTTTTTTTTCATTGGTAATCTGGATGGTCAAAACTTTCTTCCCCTAAATTTTCGAAAGCCATGTAGCGATTCTCTTATTTTGACACCATTTACGAGCTAGTACTTTGTTGCTTTGACCAGGATCACAGCGATTCCTGAGGTTTCTGTGTTCACCATGCTCCATTCCACGGTTTTCATCAGCGATGTAATTTTGAATAGGTCGTAGTGCTCAATTTTGGCACAGATTTACTCTTAGCTGTGCATCCAGTTGAAAATGGCGAACTTCTTCTTGGCTTGGACATCCTGGTGGAAAATGAACTCAGCGCTGTAGTTTTACAGTTCGGCACCCAAAGTCACGATTAAACTGCAGAACATTGAGAGTGGGATAGAAAGTGACCTCTTTATTATTAATTTCAATTTGTAGTAGTTGAGAATAATCTATGGTTTAGATTATAATCTAGTAATTTTTTTCCAAATAATCTCGGACGTTTTCCGTGTACAGTGTAAAAATCTATTCGACCAATTATTCATCTCATGCGTCTCCACCGACAATTTCATCACCCTTCCTGGATGCGATATGATCAAAAAGACCAGCTCAGTGAGTTCTCCAGTGTTTTATGAAATCAAACTGCTTATCTCTTGCTATCTGCTATTGACTTACTACTTCTTGTGGGACAAAAAGTTCAGTAGTTCCTTTGTGATAATCCTCCAATTTCACCTACTTACCCGCAGATATTTTGTTTCTATGCAGATTTCAAGTTCTTCTTTTCTCTGATTTATTTGTTCCCATGCTGCAGTTGCTAATTCAAAACTTTTTTCCAAATAAGATCTTTGTGAAAAAGGCCGAAAATATGATTCTGTTTTATAGAACGCTGAAGCAGTTACGAGTATGTCTGTTAGGGCAAAGCCGCAGTGCTCAACCGTTCACATAACCTAAGAGGTAGTTTCAATACAAAGTTTTTAGGTATGTGAAGCAACAGGCTCGCTTGTGGAGGACAATGTTTGTAATTTTCCGTCAGTTGCAAAAAAAGGTACGATTTGACAATGAGGCGGGAAAATTTTGCGAAGATTGGAAGTAAACCACAGTTAGCACAGGAGGCTTTAAAAGAGAACGTCTAAGTAATTTGTAAGAGATCTCCGTCATAAGTGATACCGGTCGTTTTCTATTCTGTGACCTTTCTTTTCGGCAAACTGCTACTCAAAACTTCATACTTGGTACTTGAACGGCCCGTTATCCCTGGTTGTGCAGGCTCCAGCATAATCACCATTTTTTCGGAGATATGCGGGTTAAACCATTGTGGTTGCCTGAAATCCCGAGCTCAGCCTGGCCAAAGTCTGCCCAAGGTCTTCACCAGCACAGGCAGCTGCAGCCCATGAGGATCGGTGTGAGATTTGCCACTATGAAACTTTGATAAAAGAAAGGTGGTGGATCCTGGTATTGGTTTACTCTTAGCTAGGCTTCCTGATGGAAACGCCAGACTTCTTCTGAGCTTCGGAGACCCTGCCGGTGGGACGAAACCCCCGCTGTACATCGCAATACGACACCCAGGAACACCTCCCAGCTACGATTACGCGGTAAACCGTTGGGGGCTCTCAAAACTATTCAAGAAAAAAGCAAAAGACTGTCCTGAGGGCCCAAAACTCCGAACTAATGATCAATAATATTTTGCAGTTATTGTTGATGGTTACTTCGCTCTCGTTAAAAATTTGTTTTTCGTCGGAACAAAAACAGCGGAGACGACGCTATTTTTCCACATCAAAGCAGCTAAATTCGTATGTGTTTACACATCGTTTATTGACCTCTACACTTTCACAGACCATGCAACGATCTGGTAGAACTAATATCGTTTTTCACAACAGCAAGTGGTTGGAAGTTCTTTTATAGCGTCTGTATTAGAAATGGTATAAATTAGTGCATTGATCTGTCACCTCAGATCTCATATGAGGGATCCCGATAGCCTGCTAGTTGTCAGGCTACGCAACGCGTCCACAGGTGGCGGATAGGGAGTTAATCGCGGATCAAAACCGACCTTTGCCTTCTTGAGACGCAGGGCCCAGGGGGAGACTCCCTGTTTCTGCTACGCCGACTTAGCACACACTTTCTGTATTTACGAGGCGTATTTATTATGCATATGTGTTTGGATGTGTTCTAGTTTATGCGGATTGTATTCTACGAGTCAATTCGGCCAAAAGCCTGCAATCAAGTGACAGGGAAGTATATTGGAGGTCGCTAGGAGTCGCCTCCAACAAATTAGCTTCATGTCCACTATGGGTGGGAGAACCTGGCAGCCGTGGTATACCCAGCCTCCACGTTCAGAGCCCAGCAAGCTATACGTGAGTATCACAAAGCTAAAAACAGCAAAAGAAATGGGCCTCATTTCCCTGACTCCAAAAGACCCCCCAATTCGGCAGCGTTGGGTAGGATGAGTTGTTGTTAAAATATCAGCGCCAATAGAAGCTTCCTGGATTTCAAAAAATTATGACGACGATCTGTACCTACAATGCGCGTACCCTTGCGTCTGAGACCTCGACAGAAGACTTGTTCATGCAAGCAAGAAGGATGAGGTACAACGTCGTCGGCTTGGCCGAGACGAGAAGACGCCACTCTTTCAGGTTTTGCCTAACCAATGTCGCTATTGTTCCAAAATTCTACACGGGATCAAAGCGTTGCTCCTTCGTTCAAGATTTATTCGTCGTGGAAAGGAAAAAATGCCGCTGAATTCAAAAACAGAATCCCCAGAACCACCATAACTTGAAACTTATGCAATTCATTAGTCGGCTGTTAGAAAGAAGCCGTTGTCGATAACATCGACGAAGAATACGATCGGCTCATTCGAAGTCTTCACGTTAGCGCTATGAAAGCCGAGAGTTCGAAAGTCACCAAGAGAGGTTTGTCTCCAGAAACACTCGAGTTGATACGCCAGCGTGGAATCGCAGGAGCTGCAGCAACCGCGAACTAACGTCCAAACTTGCAAAACAGTGCAGACAGGCGATCAAAGAAGATCTGAAAGAGAGAAGAACAGCAGTGATGGTCAAAGCTGAAGAGGCTGGGAAAAGCATTCGCAAAGCACACCGAAGCTTCGCCAATTACAAGACCAAGATGATTGCACTCCGACGTCCAGACAGAACAGTTACAGCGTCCAGAAAGGCAATGAAAAAAATCATTCACGAATACTACTCAGATCTCTTCGGTAGCCACATCCACCTTCCATCACACCAAATAAAGGAGGATGTCCTCCTACTGGTTCTCCCTCCCGAAATCCGACGTACTATTTCGTTGGCGAAGAATCGCACAACACCAAATCCGGTTAGGATAAGATTTAAACACCGCGTCCACCTTCCGTCATATGAAATAAAGGAGGATGGATATGTTGTACCACCGGTTCTCCCTTCCGAAATCCGACATGCCATTTTATCGGTAAGAAATCTAACAGCACCAGGTCCAGACAGGATAAGACCAGAACGCGTGAAGAACCTTCAGCCAGTCCTCGTAAGCACACTGGCTCGGCTCTTCATACGTTGCCTGTCTGAATGCAAGGTCGCTACTCATTGGAAGACCAGCAAGATCGTGTTTTTGTTGAAGAAGGGTGATCTACAAGATATAGGCAACTATCGCCCAATCTGCTCGTTGCCTGTCGTCTACAAACTTTTCAGTCGAGTCATCCTAAACAGGATTGACAGAACACTTGACGAAGGACGACCTTGCGAGCAATCAGGGTTTCGAATAAAGGATTTAGTACGATGGTCCACATCCACACGATAACAAAACTCATTGAAGTATCGCGAGAGAGCAAAAGAGCGTTCTGTCTCATTTCCATCGATTTACAGAAGGCCTTTGATTCAATTGAGATAGAAGCAATCATGGAAGCCCTTGATAATCAAGGAGTCACTGCTCAGTACATAAAGATTCATTGTGAGCTGCACAAAATTTCCACAACCAAGATATCAGCATTCTACAACGATATTAACATCAAAGTCAAAAGAGGACTTAGGCCATCTCGGCAAAATTATATACCACCACCCTCCAGAACGTCGTGCGAACATTGGAATGGGATGATATGGGAATGAAAATCGATGGTCGGCAGTTAGGCCACCTTCGCTTTGCTGATCACATCGTCCTTATGACACCAAATATTTGCCAAGCGGAACGTATGGTTGACGACTTTGAAAAAGTCTGTGGAAAGATTGGTCTTCGACTAAGTCTCAGAAAAACGATGTTCATGGGAAGCGGATTGGCTTCATATGCCCCATTCACGCTCAACGGAAAGAATATCTCTGAATGCTCGAGTTATATCTATCTAAGTCGGGAAGTCAATATAATGAACGACCTAGTTCCAGAGCTGAGTAGAAGGAAACGAGGGGCCTGGGCAGGTTTCAAGAGCATCGAGGATGTAGTGAAGAGAACAAAGAACACCCGACTCCGTGCCTACCTTTTCGATTCAACGGTACCTCCTGCCCTAACGTATACGTCAGAAACCTGGTCGCTGCGTAAAGAGGATGAAAGATAACTCAACAATGTTGAACGCGGAGTCGAAAGAACGATGCTAGCAGTATCCCGATCAGAAGCTCCGACCTACGTCAACAATCAAAAATCAGAAATACCGTTCTGTACTCCAAACAGTCGAAGTTAAGGTGGGCAGGACACGTAATGGGAATGAGTGACAACCGATGGACAGGAGCCGTTAGTGACTGGATTCCTCGGGATGTTAAACGCACTGCAGGAAGACCGTCTTCTCGACGGTCAGGACTAACACATTCATCACCACACCATGCGAGTCCTTCGTTTCGTTTACCTCTCACCTAGTACTATCGATCACGAAAAGCCTAGAAGAAAGATATGATGCTGGACAAGTCCCCAGAGAAAGCAGAATCCACTGGGCTACTCTTGCTAACGACAGGGAGAAATGGAAGATTTATTGGCGTCCGCTCGAGTCACTCGACGATCAACGGAACTACAAGTGATAAAGGTGATTGATCTGTCAACACCAGGACGTTACGAAGCTTCATGTTACGTATTAATTAGAGTAAATTCTTCGGCAGCGTTGGAGGAAAATCAGTTATCACAGAAGGGCTTTTAGGTTTTTACTTTTTATTTTCTGGCTACTAAATTTTTCACGGTGGGGTATTATGCGAAACACAGCCACATCGATGCTGAGATATTTGCAAAACTCCGGACCGAAGGTGTCTGCGGTGAGGAGCGAACGCGCTATTACCCTTTCCGAGGACTAACACATTCACTACCACACCATGCGAGTCATTCGTTTCGCGTGCCTCTCAGCTAGTACTATCGATCACTGCCATAACCTGCCAACGGCATTGATCTGGGGAGCCCACATCGGCATTGGACCCAGTTAAGCTGAGGCTATAGTTGAAATCACAATTCAGTGAAATCACACAGATTTCACAATCACGATTCAGTGAAATCACAGAGATTTCAACTACACGTCCAAGTTAACTGGGTTCAGTGCCTACGTGGTCTCCTCTGATCGATTTCTTTGGCTGGTGATTGCTGATGGCACTGATCGATAGGACTAGCTGAGAGACAGGCGAAACGAAGGGCCCGCATGGTGTGTTGGTAATTGCGTTAGCCGGCGGAAAGGGTAGTAGCGCGTCCGTTCCCCACCGCAGATACCTGTTGTCAGAAGTTTTGATGATATCTCAGCATCGCTGTAGTTTTTAGATTATTCCACGTGATATGCTTATGTTTGAATACTCTCGAAATGTCATCTACTATTAGCCTACGATACGCCGTTGTATGCGTTAACAGGCGCGTCGGGCGGAAATTGTAACAAAAAGGTTTTCAGATGCCTTGTGGTACGGGAAGAAATGAATGGTCATGAAGTGGTGTTTATTATTGCTTTCTTATCTACTATCGTAATCACTTAGTCACCTTGTGTCGTTAAGTATTAAGATTACCCGTGGTTTTAGCATCTCGCCCACCATTACCCTCATTTCGTTCGTGTTTTTGCTCCTGATTTTTTTCTGAGCTCTGTTGTCAACTCTAAATGCACCACCCATGAAACTAAAACTTGCAGCAGAAGGATTTTTAGAGCTTTTCACTATTACTACTACGCTAAACACTGACACTAATACAACCACAACGTTGCTGAGATATTGGCAAAACTCTGGACCGCAGGTGTCTATGGTGGGGAACGAACGCGCTATTATCCTTTCCGGGGAGTAACGCGTTCACCACCACACCATGCGGGCTATTTCTATCGATCTTTTTGCCACAGCAAAACGAAGGCGAAACGAAGGACCCGCATGGTGTGGTGGTGAACGCGTTACTCCCCGGAAAGGATAATAGCGCGTTCGTTCCCCACCAGGCGAAACAAAGGACCCGCATGGTGTGGTGGTGAACGCGTTACTCCCCGGAAAGGATAATAGCGCGTTCGTTCCCCACCATAGACACCTGCGGTCCAGAGTTTTGCAAATATCTCAGCAACGTTGTGGTTGTATTTCGCTTAGTAACCTGCCATGAAAATTATAGAAGGCAGAAAACAAAACGTTAAACATACTGACACTAATATTTATAGTGGATTGTTATTATAATTAATATTATTTTGGCCCATCAACTGAACTATTTGAAGGCTGGAAAGGGTCTAAAAATTGTTCATAAAGAAATCGCTGACATGAGACACGTGAAAATTCGTTACCACCATGCCGATGAGGGCTCGGAGGATTTGGCCATACACAAGGTCGGTTCTTTAACATTCTATTATTTACCATCTTTAAAAATGGGAGATGGTAAGACGTTAGTGATTGATCTCACCGTTCCGGATGCGGCATAATTTCAACTTGATTGAGCATCATTGATGTGAAATAAATGATTGCCCTATACAATGAATAGCAATGGCATAGCGATGTATCGAGTTGGTGCTTTTAGTGCCTCTAGTGAGCTCTAGTACCAATCTGACTGCTCCAGTGGTATGAAAGGTCTGATTAGACCAGTGGGTGGGTCGAACCTAAGGCTGTATACTTTGCAGGGCATCTCTGACTTCGTCATACGCGCCGTTAATAAGTGAACAAATATAAGTAGTGCGAAAGTGTTACACTTTTACTTATATACATAAATAGATAAAAACTGGGTAAAACTAAACATAACATAAGCATATGTGTGGGCGTCTGCTTCTAATGGTAGACTAATCTTAAGCATTTGCAGAAACTAAAGAAAAGTCTCACCGATTTCTTCAATCAATATGTCGCCATGTTTGAGTTGATGCAGATGGTGATCGAGCAAATATTCGTACCATACACCATAATCTGGCCGTTTATATCGGTATAGTTAGAAAATAAGGGTATTACAAGTTGTTCTCTGTCCCATAGTAGGACAATTATCTCGGTTCAGACGAGTTCGTAAACTATTAAAGAGTTCTATTGCCAATGCAAATATTGTATTGTCTATGATTTGTCTATGTTCTATAGTTTCCAAGTTTTTGGACTAATTATGCTTTCCCGTATTGCTGATGAGCTATAGTGCCTAAGCCTTATGATACTTATGACTGAAGTTGAACCGAGCACCATGCGTTCCTGAGCAACGCACAAAATGGAGTGCCATGCGAAAGTAAGAGCAATTTAAAAGACCTTTACCAAAGTGTTTCTTTCCTCTTGTTCCAACTCGTCCGTAAAAAGGGTTCGATTTCGAGAAATTCTTTCGAAAGCATGGCATTCCTCATTATTAAGCCGTTGGAAGTTAATGCACAGTATGGCAGTAATTCTCAAAGCTTATTTCACGCACTTTCGCTGAATGTAGAGAGCAGCAATTTGGGCAGATCTACTACAGACTCAAACTCGGAAGCGTGCAATTGGCTCGGAACGCTGAAGAGGTGTGGTAGCAAGGAAGTGTTAATGAAAGCACATTGAAAGCACGCAACGTTGTTTTGTTTGGTTGTTCACCTTGGCGAATTCAACCTCGATTGTGCAGGAGGTCGCGGACGGCCCTCTGCTGTTGAAGACGATAAAGTGAAGGCTTTGGTGGAAACAAATACACACAAAGTCATTTGAGAACTCTCAGGATGTCATGCTAATTGATAATACATAGCAAAGCCGAAGTTGGGATAGCTGTGCTGTTAAGGATATCAAATACTGTTAGCAGATGGGTTGGTAAGTCAGGTTCATCATGATTTCAGTTTTCGTCACTATGAGATAAGTACACACATTCGCTACGAATAAGTTCATATCATATCATAATGGAGAACACATTGACTGATATAAGTTCACCTTTATTCATTTGCTTACGCGAAGTTTATTTGACGAGCAGCACTCTCACTATAATTTTCGTAATTATTCGATAGCATATTCAGGAAAAGTGCTCCTCAGAAGTACTACATCATAAAAAGGCTCTAAAGCTCTCGGCGTTAATCAATCCCTGAGGCATGCGCCATCCATTCGGTTTTATTAAGTGTCATTGGAGGTGATTGAATGCATATCTGGCCTTTACAATAACTCGCGGTGGCCTACCGATATATCGAGCCAGTGCTACTATCCTCCCAGACAAGTCTGGTACCAATTTATCGACTCCGGAGGGATGGAAGGCTTGGTGGGTCATGGGCGCGGGGATCGATTCCACGTGTGTGTCGCAGTGGCGTCTCCAACCACTGCGCCATACGCGCCACACCATTTCATACATGTAAATTATATCTAGATATATCCGTCCATACACTGCATCGAGGGCGCGTGTGGCGCAGTGGTCGGAGGCACTCTGTAACACACACATGGAATCGTTCCTCGCGCCCATGACCCACCAAGCCTTCGATCCCTCCGGCCGGAGTCGTCAAATTGGTACCAGACTTGTCTGGGAGGATAGTAGCACTGGCTCGATACATCGGTAGGCCACCGCGAGTCATTGTTAAGGCCAGATATGCATTCAATCACCTCTAACGACACTTAATAACGGATGGATGGCGCCTGCCTCAGGGATTAATCAACGCCAAGAGCTTTATCCTTTTTTTATATACTGTATCGCCGGTAAGCTTAAAGGAAATGCACCAGTAGGCAAGCACTGAAACTAGAGACATAACGAGAATGATTTTGCAATACTTCACCACCTTCGCATAGGAATCGAAAACTTTAGCGAGCGAAACCCTCAAAGCATTGTTGATAAATTTCATTATTCCGAAAATGAACTGCACAGAGGAATGGGTCATTACCATGTGAGTTTTCACACAACATTTAACGGTATGTAATAAAGGCACATTACGCTTCCATGAGAACTCTGTACGGTTGGTCTCCACATGAAATACTTAGTGGAAGACTCATAGAACATCGGAGTACAGCAGTTGGAAATAAGCTGCGTGGAATGCTCGTAAGACATCTAATGGATTATAAATAGGGCTTTCATGGTATTAATGCTAGCAGCTTCCATTCCGGAAGAGCTTGACGCATGAATATTCCAAGCACTCAGGGCACGGACCGTCGAACTTCCTGTGGCTACTGTTTCCACACAGTGACAATAATAAATAGTGCGTTTCATGAAAAATGCGGCGTTCTCCGGTACCCTGAAGTGAAGAGGGCCATCTGGATGGGTAACTGTGAGGTCCGATAGGAATAAGACCAGACTTCCTTGTATCTGCTATAAAGTGATACAGTTGATGCCGAGATAGTGTTTGGGAATGACATTGTTCAATAAAATGCACTGAAACGAAAAACCACAGGAAAAAATCAATATTTTCTCAAATATTCTTTCAGACCGCACTGTTTACATACAATTTCAATTATCGTGAAGAATATGAGAACAATTTTCTGACGGACGAATTTGATAAAATTGATCTGGATATGGCATTACGAGGCCAGACAAAAGTGCTTCCTCTCAACAAGAATGAGAAACTACAGGTAACGCTGTCTACTCACTCACAATCTAGTTTTACCACATTACCCAGATCTCCTGCTGTAATCTTTCACAAGTGATACCCATTATTTTCTCTTTCTAATGGTAACCTCGTATTGGTTTCGATCGGTTGTTGTTTTATTGTTCCAAGGCAAAAAAAACCCTTCACTGTTCTCGTAGAGAGTATTAGACCTACCTAGGAAAAAAAGAAAAGACACTGTTTTCCTTGATTATTAAGCTAAATTGACGTTATTGTAGAATTTTCATTCGGTTAATGTTTTCACGCCTTAGCCCTCCTCAGTAGCAACCGCAATGACTCCTGGCGATCGCCCGCAGCCTTTTGCGCTCTCATTGTGGATCTTCCTACTGAAAAATCTAGAGGAAGAAATCGCTGATTTGATACATTGATTAGCACTGAATACCGTCCTATAGGAAATCAGTCAATCTTGTGCTTGTTGAAAATCATGACGCCAGAGATTAAGCGACGTCTGATGTTTTTTCCTCTTATGCTTTATACTTAGTTATTGACTTTCACTTCTATTAGGTATAATTTGACTTGTTCCAACTCAATTATTTTTCTTTTCGATTAAACTATCGTTTAGTTAATTTCACTTATCCATCATTTTGAGGATTAGGCAGCAGTTAGGTCAAGGTCGACACCTACAATCAAAACTCGCATCTGTGAAAAACTATGAGAAGCTATCCGCAGATACACCCATTATTGGCGTAGATATGTACATATTCATGTGTGTATATACGTATATACATACATATATTTATATTTGTAAGTGACTCGAACTCTCCCTACTAAATCTTCCATTTCTCCCTGTCGTTAGCAAGAGTAGCCCAGTGGATTCTTGACGCTCTAGGTAACTGTTGAGCATAACATCCTTCTTCTCTCTTCTAGAGTTTTTGTGAACACCTCTAACTATCGAGGCTTTTGGTATTCCTGCAGTAGGTTTGACATTCTGAGAAATCGGTTAACAAACTGCTTTTTATAATGCCCAGATATTTGCAAAACTCCAGACCGCCGGTGTCTGCGGTGGGGAACGAACACGCTATTGTCCTTTCCGGGGAGTAGCGCGTTCACCACCACACCACGGGGGTCCTTCGTTTCGCCTGTCTCTCAGTTAGTTCTATCGATCTTTTGCCATCAGCAATCACCCGTCAGAGGGATTGATCTGGGTAGCCCAAATCGGTATTGAACCTAGTTATGCTGAGGCCATAGTTATAATCATATTCTTAACCTTTTTATTTACTATCTATTCTTTCTAAAGGCAGGGTATGTTGCGAAATATAACTTTTATAATGCTGAGATATTTGCATGGTGTGGCGGTGAACGCGATACTCCCCGGAAAGGACAATAGCGTGTTCGTTCCCCACCGCAGATACCTGAGGTCCAGAGTTTTGGAAATATCTCAGCATTATAGAAGTTTTATTTCGCATCATACCCTGCCATTAAAAAGCAGAGACAGTAAATAAAAAGGTTAACATTGTGATTATAACTGCTTTCTATCCATCGGTTGTCCGTGATAAGCACTACGTACCCAGCGCACTTTATTTAATACAATTTGTCGTATGAATGGCGTCTTTGATTTTTGATTGCTGATGTTGATCGGCGCTCCAGATCCCTACCCTGACTTGTACGGCACGGAATGCTCCTAGCATGGGGCTTTCGACTGCGTGCTCAATAACGCTAGTTGTCCTTTCATCCTTCTTACGTACGACCAAGTTTCTGACGCATATGTCTCGATGCTCTTGAAAGCTCCTCATGCTGCTCTCTTTCTTCAGCTCAGCTCTGGTGATAAGTCCTTCATCATGTTGTGTTCCGCTCGAAATAAATGTAGTTAAAACATTTGGAGACATTCGACCTGTTGAGCGTGAATGGAGGTTAGGAAACTTGTTCCGAGAAGGATGCCAACGTTGCCGACTCTATTGTCGCATGTTCCGAGGAATAGTTCTTCTCCGATGTCATAGACGGCGTTGAATGGGTGGCGACGTCTCGTCTTAGCCAGTCCTATGCCGTGCCTTATTCTTTCTACCTGTATGATCAAGATCAAGGTGTATCATGATCTACCTATTGATGACTTAGATGTAAGTATGGGCGCATTCTAGGTAAAGATCATCACCTTAGTCCTTTGCGAGTTAGGCAGCCTAGAATGGTCCTGAGACTTTAGCACTCTCTCCCTACTCGTCCTAGCCAACGCTGTTGTACGGCGGGCTGTTCCGGGCTCAGGGGAATGAGGGCCACTTATTCCACCGTGCTTAGCATTTGACAGCCACGTATATCTTGCTCAGGTATGAACGTGGGTGAAGGGTTCACGGGTAGCTTGCCAGTCTCTTCCAAACTAGACGGGTGAGGCCATTTGTTGTAATTGACTCCCGACCTTCTGCCTTACTTCCCAGTAACGTTATTGGAGACTTCCGCCCAAATAGATTCGTAGAATACAATCCGCATAGACGAAAACACATGCACGCTCTCATGCATAAATACGTCCTCGTTAAAACAGAGGGTACGCTTAAATTTGGCGCGGCAAAAGCAGGGAGTCTATGCCCTGGATCCATATGCGTATCAGGGAAGCAAAATTCGCTTTTGTTAAGAGATTAATACTCTCCTCGCCGCTAGATGATGCCCCACGTTGCCTCGTGACTAATCTGCATGAGATGCCTTTATGAGGGACATACACAAAAGACAAAAAAAGCAAGGAATAGCAGAACCCAACGAACTAATTGTTCGTGCTCCTTATTTGAATTGTAGAGGAAAAAGATTGATTCTCGTCAAGCCCGTCGAATATGAGGAGCGTACTGTGTAGCTCTCAGGGTTAGCTTAAGAAGATCAGTTTATAAGATCACATAAATAAATTTATCAACTATTTACGCTGAGGTTTATAGAAAGTCGGTTTTTCGAGTTATTAAGGAATGCACAGTTTACTTAATGACAATAATAATAATAATTGTGAGAATTCCTCCAGCATCTTGTAATGCAACGTGAGCAAAGCCCAGCAGTTGGCGTCAGGAAACTCTGCTATAGCATATTTTTGCCCATGTGAGGAGGATGAGTATCTCAGTGAAGGTCAAAAGTTTAGCAAGTAATAATTAACGGTGAACAAAGAGCGAGTGTTTGAGAAGGTAACATCAAGCACGATAGTTATGCTTGATGTTTTATAGAGATAAATCCTAACGAAAGGTGAGAAAAGCCGGCAATTAACATCTTTCTTTTATACCCGGAACTTCTTAAAAAAAACACATTTTTCGTAGTTTCCCTTTTCAACGAATATTCAATTCCAGTATATTCGAAGAGCGTCATGGAAGATGACATCCAAGGAGAGGACGCTCTATAGACTACGCCTTGTCTTGACGCTTATCCTTAGCTCGACACCGTTCTGCTTCATTTGTATGGACGTGGGCTTGTATTCGGTGAGGAATAGTGATATCATCAATTATTTTTGGGTGATAACTATGCCTATATGCCTAAACTATAAAAAAAGGTGTTTCAAGCACTTTTTTCGGAGGAAGCTATAATATTTGCTTGTGAAATTGCTTATAACAAGATGTTGATCCGAACAACCTATGAATGTTACTCCCACTTGTCCCAAGGGTACTCACCATTTTTAGACCTCTTCCTCTCAACTTGTTCCCAATAATTTTTACGGCCAATTTTTAAATATATGCTTTATTCAATGTTTATTATTACTTGTAAATATTGAGGCGTAGTGAAAAATTTTTTATACGAAGTATCATGTCCGTTTTGTCGGAAAATTGACTTTTCCTTCATTCGAAAATACCTAAGCTTATGGTGAACTTTATTAATTGACAACGAAGATCACTAAAATCTATAATTCTTCACCAGCAAGGAACAATATGCCTGTTTTGTCGAAAAATTCGGACACTTACTGCTGGTGTGCTGGAGTGGAAATTGCTACTGGAGTTTGCGAATCTTTTGCTTCGCTCCGTTCCGTCAATGCTGATGTCACCAGTAGCGAGGCTATTCAACCTTGCTGTTACTGCCACCAAACAGTTGCCATTAGGAAAAATGATATTTAAGGACCGTCGTCCGTCCTAATGTATTTTAAAAGCTTGCAATGTACACATATACATGTGTACGTACGTATACAACATGTAAAACTTATACACGTATATGTATAAATATATATATATGTATATATATATATATATATACATAATATGTCAGTGCTTTAGACTGGTGCAGTCCAGTGTCCTCTGTAGGTTGTACACGTCCACTAGGTGTCATAGTTTTCTTGCGGATATCACATATTTTAAACTACGCAGGAATCATTAGTTCTGGCTTTATCTACTATATAAATTCGTATAAGCTTCCATACGATCGTTTATTGAGTCATAACTTTCTAAATCAGGTTCTATCGAATGTCTATTACTACACTGGTCTTGTGACAATTGATTATCCGTCCCATTATGAAGTAAAAGTGAGTGTTTTCATCGTTTTTCGTCGGCTAGGTCTAAGAAATTTAATAAAAAATGGTTTGATGTGAAATACTAATGGGCTTTTCTTTTGCAAAAATGCATAATTTGTGACGAAATAAACTTCATGTCCATTTTATAAAATGACCTCCCAAAGGTTTACCGCCTTATCTTGACTGGGAGGTATTCCTGGATGTCGGACTACATTGTGCAGCGGTGGTATTCATTCTCCAACAGGGCCTCCTAATCTGAGAAAGTGTCTGACGTTTCCACTAGGAAGCTCAGCAATGAGTAAGCCACTACTAGGACCCACTGCCGTCCTGGTATCGAACTAGTCGCATGGTGGCAAAACTAATCCACAAGGGTGGCGACTGTCTGTAGTGATGACGACCTGGGGCAGACTTTGGCCAGGCTGCCCTCGGGACTACAGGTAAACACAATGGCTTGACCAGCAAAACTCCGAAAAATGGAGAATATGTTGGGGCCGCACGACCAGTTAGGATGGGCCGTCCAAGTATCCAAGTATGTAAGTCTAAAGAAAGAATTCGTTTACAGTTTCTCATTTTCACTTTATTTTTTGTTTTTAATCTGACCAGAATTATTCCAAGTATATGCTCCTACATTCAATTCCATAGAAAATTTCTAGGTGTCAGGTACAGGTGAAGCTGCCAAAATGATGAGAAGTATGCAAGAAGTATTTTCGCCGCTTACATCGGATATTCGTGAAAGAGATGATCGGTGAATAAGAAAGAGTCTTCTCTCCATAGTCCATGACACAGTTTTTCTTTCGTCTACTTGCTAGAGTCATAAAATTAGATACTTGTTTCATAGGTTTATTGTGAGCGTTTGAAAAAGGAATCGGCCAAGCTATGTTATCACATTTTCTGGTTCCTATATTAAATGATTGCCGGAATTCATATTTCACAGTACAAACTCAGTTCTCTCCGTAACCATTTTCAACAACAAAAGTGTCCAGTGTTCCACCACCCACACTTATTGAAGTGAAAAACGAACTTCCTGAAGTCTCTTTTTCCTTTTATAAGCGCCGTATAGTGAAGAGAATGGTTTAATAAAACTTTACATGTAACAACGTTTTCAAATAAAAGTGCCGTTTTTGTTTTAGATGGCGAAAGTGTTTCGTCGAACCAAATCCGCCAGACGAGAACACACTGTGGACCATCATTCTGTTGTTCATCATCTCCGTTTTTCTTTGTCGATTTCAGGTGTGTGCATGCTGTCATGGTTCTCTTTTGTAGAACTTCGTTTTTCTAGTTCTATACAATTCAGACATCTACTTCGGACTTGGCTACATAATTCGCTGGCCCGCTTTCTTCACTTTCTCCTCTATTCTCTTTGTTCGTCAAACCTTCGTCGACCTTCACATCGATTCCTGTCCTCCACAATTGATATACACAATAATGCTTGTGTTGCATACAGCAAATACTTAGTTAAACTAGCCTTACGTGATCAGGGTAGCTTCTATTGCCATGAAAACATATTCTTCCTATAGTTTGTCAAGACGCATGAACCACTGAATTCGTCACACCATTCTGGGAAATTTTTCGTCTTACTAAGTATTTTCTAGCGTTCTGAGATGGTCGACGAGCATTTTTTCTCATACACCACCAAAGTGTGCGTGACTTTGCGAGATTTTTTAGATTTCTCAGAGAAAGTCCCTACCTTATTTGGTACCGATAACTGCTCTCCACTTGCTCTCTGTAGCATTCATTCGGTTTCTGTGAGAGGTCATCTCTATTCAGAACGAAGGGTGTAAGGTGTTTAAATGTTAAGTTTCTTAAATGTTCAATGACGTCTGCAGAAAACCCATTCACTTTGTCGTTCGTATAGTAACGCTTCGTTTGACGTTACCAGATTGCTGATTTGTCACAGTGTGTGCCATATTTTCGATCTAACTTTCTTTTAGCGTGAGTTCGCTTTTATCTGCGAGTAACAGAACTGTTCACTATAATCTGTCATTTATTCTTCTCTTTGCCAGTAAAATAGTAAGAGTTAAAAGTCATATCATGATACTTGGAACTCTCTGCTTCACAAGTTAGTTAAACGATTTCAGGTTTGGATGTCTAGACAGTCGCTGGCACTAGCGGATAATTTTTTTCCGGATCGAGTAAGACCAAGGGCGTTAATGTTGTACAACCGAATTCTCCAATCTAGAAAAAATATATTAGGAGAAATGTTAGAAGAGAAAAAGGTGATGTATTGATGTTAAGGGTGATAGCGACTGAAAGACTATTGGATGGATTAAGTAGAGTTTCTAAAAACTTGATTAGTGACTATTTTAATGAATGGATTAACAAGCGTTACACGGAGATAGCGTTAACTTTTGATGTCTGAAGCTTCAATTTTCTCTATACACCTTGTGAACTGGAGCCCATTCTTGCCGATCTATTTCCTCCTCACATTCGACTAGACGTCAGTTAATAACGGATCTATTTGGAAAGACGAAAGCTTGTATCACCTCAACATATGTGCGTCGGTACGGTCACACAACACCAAGCACTTACACCTTTCTTAACGAAGTTGGGCGTTCAAAAACTGTTAAATTCGGAACATTCTCTTCTTCTATGTTATTTCTAAAGTATTTTACCGACGATTATCTTCTTAAGCCTTGTCATTAGTTTCGGAGGTTAAGAATCGCTGGTTCAATTTCTTCTTAACGCTATCCATTTCTTAGTAACTTGAAAGCCCGACTTTATACAAAATTCTGCATTGTTAAGTTACTTGTGTAAATTCTGCCTTTGTTGAACCTATGCGAAGTTATTAGCAATTGTTGTTGTGATTCGATGGCTAACTTTTCGGCGAGTTCGCGTTCTTCAGAGCCTGGATGTATTTTGTGCAGCTCTAGTTGTATAACCTCTATGACGCTGAGATATTTTGCGTGGCCCCAGGCCAGATTGAACTCCAATTATCCTTTCCGGAGCTCACCTGTTACACATGGCACCACCGATCCCCTTGCCTTGCCTTTCTCTCAACCACTTTCTATCCTTATAATTAGGTGAGCATTATATCTCTATCCTTATAATTAGGTGAGCATTATATCTATAGAATTATTGATGATCTGTTATTCAAATGAGCGCCACTTTGTTAAATACTACTCACCGTTTTGTAAGGAGTGAGACCAGCCGTATGCTGTTCACGTGAGACAACACATGAAACTCATCCACATAAAAAAACCGATCTGTGGAAAGCTGCAGAGTCACGTGCGATAGTGAGACACCCGTCTTTTCAATTCATTCCGGAGCTTTTGAAATTTGTCGAAAACGCTTTTTCCATCCAGATGTTCTTTCATGTGAGCTTTGGTCGTTGCTCTCATCACTGCATACCGAACATAAGATTACGCATGATGTGCCTAACCTTTTGCAATCTTCGTATCTGCGTTTAGAGCAGATCACGCCATTTTTCAGTATTGCGTAAGTAGCAATAAAGGCGTTTGCGTCTTATTTGTCCAATTTTTAGGTGATAAGGGAAAATTTTTCGTACCAATTAGAGGGTTAGCTTTAGGACAGCGATTAATACCAAGCGTTGTCATCGACTTTATGTTTGTGGTGGAAGCTATAGTTCTTAATCACCGACCCTTTACTGTCGATAAATAGATGAGTACCTCATTTTATTTACTGCCTATTCTTTTTGTGGCAGGATAGGATGTGGATTACATCCACAGCAATGCTGAGATATTTGCAATACTGCTGACTGCAGGTGTCTGCGGTGGGGATGGAACACTCTATTACCCTTTCAGGGGTCTGATGCCTTCACCACCACACTATGCTGGTGCCATTATTGTGGTCATAACAACAACTGATTCCAACCTCGCATCACCTCCAACAGGGCAAATTGCAAGATTTACACAATTAGTGTTTGTCTAACAGTCTCCATATGATAGCGTTGCTACAGATTCTTCTCGAAATGGTAGACAATAAACGCATTCATTGCCGCGGATTGAGTTAAAATGGTCTATCTTTCTAAGATATTCAACCAGTAGTTTTTTTTTTACCTTTTTTGAGAGTTATTTGTTTCCAGAAACTGTTAGCCGACGATCAGATAGCTGGTCGGGAAACCATTGTCCGTCGCGGATTGCAGTCACGTGGTTTCATCAGAGTGAACTGTTCCATTTGCAATGAACCTGATCTCAGAATCGCTGATGAATCGTAGTTTTTCAGCATAATTACGTATTCATTAAATTTGGATACCACTTTTTGAGATCCATGGCGTTGCTATCATGTTTTTCTTCTTTGTCGAGTTTACTCATCCTCATGGCGGAAAGATTTGGTGTAAAGCTCAACTTTTGCAGTAACACTCGTTTGTGCGTATCCTGTGGCACGTACTATTGCATACAGTGCTTCTGTTTACGAAGATACTGTAAAGAATGCAGTCATGATATGCAGATGATAGACCGTGTTGAGATGTACTACGAAGATCCCACCGACGATGAGGAATCGGAAGATGAACTAGAAGGTAATGAGGACGGTGAGAGATGAAGCAGCAGATTCTCCTTCACCCGTCCATTCTATTCTCACCGTCTACTTTTTTTTGCGCAACTCTTGATTTTTTATGTATAATTTCCATGTCGTACAGATTTTAGTTAGCATACTAGCAAATTTTACTTTGACAAATACTTTAGTGTGTTAGTTTTGAAATCACTTTAAAAAGCCGATTTCTAAACCTTAATTGCGATATCTCGTACCTTTCGACGCTACTTTTTGGATATATATTAACATTAACTAAGAAAGAGAGGGTAGTGCGTGCAGCAGAGTGGTTAGAGGTGCTGGGCAACACACTGGTTCGACCGGTAGTTTGATCCTGCGCTACTGGCCTCACTAAGCTTTCCGTCTCTAAGGGGTTGGCAAATTGGTACAAGAATTGTATGCGAGAATAGCACCATTGACTTGATACAGCGGTGGAACTATCGCAAGTCATCGTATAGGCTACATGTGCATTTAACCACCTCTAACGATACCTGGTGAAGTCGAATGTATGGCTCCGAACGTTCTATCTTTTTGTCGTTTCGCCAGCAATGCGAAAGTGGGAATTGCCCAGTAAAGTCAAAAAACAGTGAAAAGACCTTTCTTCTTTAAATCTATTTACTTGTTCATCTTAAATTTAATTCAAATTAATTTTCAGAAGAAATCAATGCTGAGGCTGATTTGAACATAAAGGTGAGCGTAGTGAAAATAAGCTTCTTCTTAATGGAAAAAGGCCCTCATTTTTAGGCTTCCGCTACGACGTTACCATAACCAGGATCAAATCGATATTTAATTTGGTTGTATTTATGAAGAAGACACTTAAATAAAGAAAATACTGTCTAAAAAATGTACCCTGTGTTACAGAATTCGTATAAATGTCACTTTCATCTAAACACGACAGTGCTTTGGCGAACGCCCACTTGAGATAATGACGTTGCCCGAGACTTTTGATCCGTTCGATGCTAGGTTTTCAAATAGGATTTTCAAGCTTTTGTGTTAGGATTAGAGATATGCTAATGCACTAGTTTCTTCTATATTTCCATGCCAACTTTTTTTTCCACGTTTGCGTTAGTTTTAGATTAAAGCTAATAAGATTCAAACAACTTCACAACGTGATTGCTTTTCTGATAACCTCGACAGTGATTGGTAATTCTCAGTTTTCCTTCAATAAGAGGAGGGCGTGTGTGGCGCAGTGATCAGAGGCGCCTTGCAACACACTGCGGTCAGCAAGTTGGTACCAGACTTGTCTGGGAGAATAGGACCACTGGCTCGATACATCGGTAGGCCACCGCGAGTCATTGTAAAGACTAGATATGCATTCAATCATCTCTAACGATGCTTGATTAAGTCGAATGTATGGCGCATCCCCCAGGGATTGATCAACGCCGAGAGCTTACAGAGAGCTTTAAGAAGACACAAGGATGATATTGAGGAGTTGTTGAGGAGCAATCCTCACCATGTATTACTCTTTACGACTGCTCTCGAACAATTAATTGTAATATTTGCAGAGAATAAAACCCCTCCGAAGGCATATCCTCGAAAAGCCAGCTATTGTATGCTAATAAATTCTATAGTATTGAACTCGTGTTTGCTCATCGAGGAGAAACAGCAGAACCATTTTTTTAGCAATATTTTACCGAAATTTTAGAATGCCATGCCATTTCAATATCAAAATAGCATCACTGATAAGGTTGGTGAAAACATCGGGAAAACGGGTGTAGATGAAGTGGTGGACATATTCAGATTCCCCACAGCAAACTCAGGTTGTTCTCTAATTTCTGGAATGTTCAGGAAACACCGTCCTAGTGTATATTAGCAGCTCTTATAGCTGCTAATGAAACACCTTCTTTAGTTGTCTTTCGCACCAAAAATTACCACTAGTTAGTACAGCGCTACCACTCGGCATAAAGAATCGCTTTAACGAAAAGTCAAAGCCAGTTTTAAAAATTGATTCGTCGTGTTTCAATTGTAAACAAAAATGTCAATATATCAATATACTACGGTATTTCTAATCGTGGGAAAGAACAGCAATCAGTAACGTTAACGAAATTCCGTGGGCGGGACTCATAAAAGGGGTGAGTTCCGTATAATTCTTATCGAAAGCGAAGGTATGAATTTTGTCAAGAAAATCGTATTTAATACCTGTTTTCAATGTTAGTTTGGATAGGTATGCCACACAAAATCGTTTTTGAGTTCTTCACGGAAAGAAATCACAAAGAGATGAATGAAAATAATGACTGGTAAAGAAGTTATATTTATTAAGGATGAAGGGTAAAGAAACGATTATATTTATTACGACTAAGCAATGCTTTTCAGTGATATTACTCTCAGTAGAGGTGTCTATAGCCTTGTCAAAGAAATCTGTAAGTCATTTTCGCCTTCACCACTCAGCTGCTTTTTGTTCACTCCGGCCTTGCTTTGTGGCTGCTCTACATCCCGAGTCATTTCGTGAGCTTGTGCTGAGTCGGAGGACATTTTCTGTAGATTTATGCTATCCTCGAACATCATTCGTTTGTACCTGTTAAGATTTAAGGCTTTTCTCATATCAAATTTTACGACGACTAACAAACAAAAATCAAACGCTGTTGGAACTGCATAGGCTGATTGATGCAATTTCTATCTTTATATAAACTATGAAAAACTTAATTTAAACTTAGGCAGAGATGAAAAGATCTATTAACACAGACGCGGCCGAGCGCAATTTTTTTTGCCTTTGAAAGTGGGTTTTCAGAAGTTTGAAATCATTCCTGATTCTTCACCACGAATGGTGCGAATTGAAAAAATCTCCAGAAAAGGTCCTTTTAAATTATTAACTGTAGGAAATAATTCTTAACGGAACATGTCTGGAACCACACCTGTTTCGGATAAGCCATGGCTTAGATGGAAAAATCATGGCAAGTAAACGAGTTGTTACAACAAAATATAGTGGGAAACAGCACGCATTGAGACTAATGCATACGGAAAGACTATCTGTGCCCGGTTTCACATTAATGAATGCCGGAAATTATATGTTAAACGTACCTTGGATTTAGGGCGAGCGAAAGTATTGCTGCCATTATTGCCAGACTGCACCAGATGTCAAGGTTCACTAGAATTCAAACGATCATTTTTTCTCTTGATAAAAAAATTCCACCAATAGAGAATTTCATAAAATAACCAACTTTTCAGCATTATTCCTAATTTCTCTAATCGGACAAAGAGTCCATATTACAAGGAAATCTTTGATAAATCTTTACGAAGGCTTGGGCTGTGCAGCATTTCATCCCGGTGGTTTGGTTTAGTTACTATGGTGAATGATTACTCAGCACAACTGTGACTTATAAGACATTTTAACTATTTCGTGAGGATTTACACCTATAGGGATCATAGTGGCCTTGCTGGAGTGCCCGATAGGGCAGCTATAGGTCTCATTTGCTTTCTGGTGATCTATTCTAACACATAGAGTTATGTTACCCTAGCTTTTAATATCAGTGGACAGCTTGTAGAAAATAGATGTTATTGTTTATAGGTCGCAAAAGCTCTATTCTGTGCTTAGAAATCTACAAAAATTTGTACATTTCTATAGTATCCATGTACTATACGTATATTCGCACTGTACATCTACAAAACAATCCAGGGTCGCAGGTGCGGCGCATGTGGCGCAGTGTTTGGAGGCGCCACTGCGACACAGACGTGGAATCGATCTCCACGCCCATGGCTCACCAAGCCTTCCATCCCTCCGGAGTCGGCAAATTGGTATCAGATTTGTCTGGGAGGATGGCAGGACTAGTTCGATACATCGCTAGGCCACCGCGAGTCATTGTAAAGGCCAGATATGCATTCAATCACTCCCAACTCTACCTAATGAAGTCGGATGCATGGCGCATCCCTCAGGGATTCACCAACGCCGACAGCTTTATCTCCTTTTGTATACAAAACTATTTAACGAATAATCTTAACCCTTTTATTTACTGCCTTTTTCTTTTTAATGGCGGGGTTTGTTGCGAAATATAACTCGTATATAATGCTGAGATATTTGCAAAACTCCGGACCGCAGGTGTACGCGGTGGGGAACGAATGCGCTATTGTCCTTTCCGGGGAGTAGCGCACTTCACCACCACACACTCCGGGTCCTTCGTTTTGCCTGTCTCTCAGCTAGTTCTATGGATCTTTTGCCATCAGTAATCAGCCGTCAACGGGATTGATTTGGGGAGCCCAAATCGGCATTGAACCCAGTTAACACCTGCGGTCCGGAGTTTTGCAAGTATCTCAGCATTATATACGAGTTATTTAACGAATACATTGGCGAAACAGGCAGACCCCTCTGTGTCCGCGTAAAGGAACATCTAGCCGGCAAACATGAACCAAATAGCCCGCTAGGCACGCATAGGACCCAGAGACATAATGGGAAGGACTTTGAAGTTCGTGTCACGATCCTCACACGCGAATCAAGAACACAGGCGCGCAAAACTCTCGAGGCTTTCTGGATTAATTCCAGTAATCCGAATATGAACCGCATAGAGGAATGCCTCATTATCACGCGTGACATTGGACAGCACATAAACCTGTTATTCTAATGAGAGGGCCACGTTACGCTTCCATGTGAATTCTGTGCAGTCGGTCTTCACACGGCGCACTCAGTGGAAGACTCATAGAAAGCGGTGATTGTGCAAGGCTGCGTTTAATGTAATTGAAATCTTGGTTTAGCGTCTCCTCTGTTTGGTTAAGGAGGTGTTTGGCCGAACAGGTTGCTGTCAACTTGACCTTTTTAGGCTCTGAGGAGGGCGAAATCCGCCGAAACGTCAGCTTATTCGTGAATAAAGAAATAAAATAACACCTTGTGTTTGCTGAACAAAAGTAGAAAGAATAAAATTACACAGATATAACGACAATATCATAGATATGAATAAGGTTTACTTGATATGGAACCACGCGACAAAGCTCAGTAGTAGCTGTATGATAGCATACAGTACTGTGCACCCAGCCACCCAGTGGTAATTATCAACTTCACCCTGGTGCCATATAAAAGAATTCGTTCCCGATTGTATGTATACATGCTACCACGAGTAATTCACGCCTTAACATCACTAAGAAATTTTTAAATATTTTTAAAAACTAAACTAACACTGCCAGTTGCCGGCTGGTGAACTTTCATTGAATTCGTAGAAGAGCTTCAACTTCTTGGCCGTTTCGAACACGAAGTACATGGTAAACATCCATAGCTGACTGTAAAACAAATAATATTGATCAACGTCTTTTAAAACGTCACGGAGTTAAGAAAAATATGCACCAGCATTACTTAGGCCAGTGTCATCAAGAGCTGGTGTTGAACGATTCAAGATGTGGGCAGATATAACTACAGCAGAACAACCATCAGAAAACGACGCCAATCAAACAATCACTGTCTCATCAATCACATGTCGGGTGACTACAGAGTATAACAAAGAAGTTCCCATTTCAGATCCACTTCATAAAGATCTTCCTTGTCACCTGTTACTCGCCTGTTTTTTAGACCCAAAGAACATCATATCCATCTTTTTGGGTATTTGCGACACGGTCTGACTACAGTCCATGGACGCGCTGCTACGAGCTTACAACTTCTGAAACTCGGCGAAGAGATAATTTCATGGTGGTTTTGCCCAAACTCATAAAGTGTCTGGCGTAGTTGATTCTTATCAGGTTGATACACGTGACGCCTTTGATCACCAACGTTATTCAGAACTTAAGACACTATTGGCACCTCCTTTTAGATAGCGTGGTAGAGAAAAAACTTGAAAAGTGAGTATAGTTTAAGATGTTCCTCTTCTCCTTCCTCCTCACTTCCTTGATGTTTCTATAAGTGACCAGTGGCTTTTCGGTCCATCTTCTCCGCTCTAGAAGTTCATCATGTTGACTTCAGCACTTGGTATACATTTTCAGATTACTATGAGATATTCGCTCCGTTGTGAGTGAATGGCATGTCAAGTTCATCAGCAGAGCGAAGATGACACTACTCGTAGCAATTAACTGCCACGCCGAGATTGTCTCGTTTTAATTTCTATTCGACCGCTTTATTAGTCTCAGGAAATAGTTCTAACAAGACGATATCGCCTAGTAGAACTTTTCTTACCTAAATTATTATGCTTTTCTAGGTATTCCATAAGGATCTCACAGGTAGCTTGCATAGCGGAGTCATTCGACACTTTGTGTGAAGAGGTTAGCACATAGATTTCACCTGGGAGAAAGAGAAGAATGCTGACTTTTGTTTCTGAACGTTCACATTGATCTATTAAAACGGCTACGTCACCAAATGATACTGAAAGCCAAGTAAGAAAAAAGTATAAGTCCAATGTTTCATCTTCCAACCTACAAGCACAAGAAGGGCGGTTATAACAACTATGTTTCGAACAGCCATATGTGCACAGGAAAAGAGCAGAAGTAGGAATTTCTAAATTTGGCGCGGAAAATAGTCATTTCCAATGGCTACGAAACGGCAACTCTTCGGGATAAGTGTAAAGGAAACACGCTTTCAAACGATATCTCCAGCAAGGAAAAGATCCGTTTATCCGACTCTCCATTTCCAACGGATCAGTGCCGCTATTAAAAGTGGCTTAGGAAGCGCAGATCTACACCGGAGGCTGCTCTCAGACATAGTTCGTGATCGCCTTTATGACCGCCTATGCACAACACAAAATTACATAATATGTCCCTAACGGTGGAGATGGTGATTGCATAAGTTCGGGTACGGTATATCCGATCTCTCGTAAAGCTTCTGGAGTCGAATACGTTTGCGGGACGAGTTGACCACTTTGAGTCCGTATAAAAGAGCACTTAGTTGTAAAATTTAAAGTCAAACAAAACATTCCACTAGGCACACAAAGAACACGAAGACACATAGATGAAGATTTTGAGGCAAAACTCACCATCTTCGCATAGAATTGTAAGAATTGTAAAACAACAGTCAGTGCTCAAAGCTCTGGGAACATTTCAAAGAAATTCCAAAAATCCGAAAATGGACAGTAAAGAGGAATGCATTGTGACCATCCGTGACTTAGCATCATAACTTAGGCCTTTTTCACCTGGCCCAGGTACATTGCCCACCTATGTAAGACTGTGTAGCTGGTCTCCATAAACTAACTAGAGCACCAAGAAAGAAGGTCTGATCTTTGTGTCTCTAAAAAAGAGTGAGTGTTTAAAAGAAGCTGTTTACTGTGCGAATTCGATTTATGTATCCAATTTTTTCTGCTTGGATTATGAAAGTGTTTGACTGAATTGGTTGCGTAACAATTAGACTATTCCAGGCCCCGAAGGCGAAACTAATATACTCCAGCCAGTATTGAATAAATCTTGTTATTGGAACCCTTGTGTCTGCTCAACAGTGAAACACGGGCTTTTTGAACAGTGCCGAAGCTAACAGAATGTCGGTTCTGGACATTACAGTAAACCATTAGCCTTGATAACTTTAGAGCCAAATTCTGAGTAATTCAATATTCAAACGACTATTGGTCGTCCTTTCTTTCCTTTCCATCTATTTTCTTTCAGCTAGCGGAAAAACTTGTCATTTGATAACTGTTTAAAAAAGTGCATCCACCGAGTCTAAAACCAGAATCAAACCTTTGCTGTTCATTTTGGTCCATTTTCAATGAATCGTAAACAATTTTAACTAAATATTTTCTGCCTACTCTTTTTAATGGCAGGGTATATTGCGAAATATAACTTCGACGATGCTGAGGTATTTGCAAAACTCCGGACCGCAGATGTCTACGGTGGGGAACGAACGCGCTATAGTCCTTTCCGGGGAGTAACGCGTTCACCACCACACCGTGCCGCCGGTCCTTCGTTTCGTCTGTCTCTCAGCTAGTTCTATCGATCTTTTGCCATCAGCAATCACCCGTCAGCGGGATTGATCTGGGGGGGGGGGGGGGGGGGAAAACCCNGGGGGGGGTGGGGGGGGGGGGGGGGGGGGGGGGAGAAACCCGTTACTGGTGAAACGAAGGATCCGCATGGTGTGGTGGGGATCGTAAGCAGTTTTTCTATCAATTCCTGCTCAAGTTGTTTCATTTTCCAGTTAAGATACTTCAAATAATAAACTATTAAGAACAGAAAAATCGCAACGCACCCGCTCAGTACCAGAAGTCCAGACGACGTCGCTTCATAGATGGGAAATGTTGTTTCCACTCCCATTTCGACTCCAATTGGAAACTGTGGAATTGAGAATGCACCCAAACCCGCACAAGCCAGCATTAAAACCACGGAGTCCCAGGCACCTGACCATTTATGACGAAGCCACTTAAAAAAGTAACTATGTGGAAAATCTGTGAAGATCTCTTAAGCAGTGAACAGAAATGAAGCAAACTATAGGGATAAGTACTTGATTAGATTGAACTAGGAAAAAATGCTCGATGCAGGAAGCGGTTAGTAGGTTAGAAGATCAGAGAGAAGAAGGACAGAAGTTTTATAAATAGTTGAGGCCAGGAAAATAGTTAGAAGTAGATGGATAAAGTTGAGAAAATAGAAAAAAACATTACCAAAACACGACTAGTGTTAAGCTTTATTTGTTCTTTTTTCGAACAACATTTATTGCTTGCCTATTTTTATGGTTTCACCACATTACTAACATCTTTAGATTTATTCATATACTTTCTTCTAATGTCACATGTGGTGCAGTGGTTAGAAGTGCATTACAATATGCCCTTGGTCCTTGGTCCGCTCCCGCTCTGCGTGCTCACCAATCCTTCCATCCAACCAACGTCGACAGACTAATAATAGATTTCTCTGGTAGAGTGAAAGCTCTGAAGTGAACCATCGGTGGACCACCGAAAGTCGACGTTTGAGCCAAGTATGCATTTAATCATCTCTAACGATGCTTGATAATGCCGAATGCATAATGCATCCCTTAGGGATTGATTGACGCTTTTCTTCAGACAAATTCTTGCGTTAAGTATAAAATTTGAAGCGGTCGGTGTTGGCCGTTCTCTTCATAGATTTGCGTTCTCTTCACAGATCTTTTCATAGACCTCCGAGAGTGCCTCCGACCACTGCGCCACACGCGCCCTCGATGCAGTGTATGGACGGATATATATAGATATAATTTACATGTGTGATATAGTGTGGCGCGTGGAATCGATCCCCGAGCCCATTACCCACCAAGCCTTCCACCTCCCCATCTCTCCGGGAACACAAATTGGTACTAGACTTGTTTGGGAGGATAGCAGCACTGGCTAGATACATCGGTAGGCCACCGCGAGTCATTGTAAAGGCCAGCCATGCATTCAATCATCTCCAACGATGCTTGATGAAGTCGAATGTATCGCGCATCCCTCTGGGATTGATCTTGAGCTTTATTCTTTGTCCTTTAACCTGCCAAACACATTTATGTCAAGGTTTGGAAGAATTCTATTACTTATACTGGACAGATAGCGGTATTTCCTATATCCATGTATCCAATACGGAAGCTACGTTTCACATTACAGTGAATCACTGGTAAAATTCGAACCCTGTGTGCCTTTCACAAGGCGACTAAGGCTTTCTAACAAATCCCGATAATTTTGGTTAACTGAAGGTACGAACCTGACGATTTGACATAGTTATAAGAAAGATTACGATCTATCAGAATTGAATAAGTTTTTCAAGGTCAAATCTTGATTTTAAGTATGTTTAGGGTTCAAACCTTTAAAAATAACCCAACTTTTTATAGCGTGGAAAGATGAAAAACCTGTATATGCGAAGACTTCTAAATTAAGAGAAATCACATGTGAACTGGAAAATGTCTTCTTAGATTATTAAGCTAGCATGAGGTTGATAAAGATGTTAAGCTATAAGCTATTCGCTATGTGCTACCTATGCACACCGAGAAAACTAACATCTGTGGACCATCGACTCGGATCATTGGCTCTGAGCAAGACTAAGGCGTGGGAACGTCAGCCGAATAAACAACTTCCTCAACATTGTGTTTAATCCAAGAATGTGTTCAAATTATTCTCACTGCTCGAGAGGTCGCTACATCTACAAAATTTTGGTACATACTGGCGGTAACCTCTCCACATGACACACACACCACACACAAACACACACAACGTAGTCATTTAGGTGTTATGCATTTGGCTAGATAACAGAAGGCATCTCTACACCGATAGCTGGGGCACCGATGTTCTTTCGGCTGGCAACTAACTGCGGGAAAGTACCCCGTTCTATCGACAGCTGTTATAAAGAAGCAATATAATAGTGTTTAAGTGGAAGTATAGCATAGACATTATCACAATGTGCACGAGACAAAACCATTTTCTCCACTGGTGGTAACTGTTGGTAGCTGAGAGCTATAACTACGAGAAGCCGTTCATGGACACAAGCGGCCACTAACTAACTGCTCTACAGTGCCGCTCTTTTTTCGGCTAGTCAGTCGAGTTTCGTAAACTCTTGGAAGACCTATAGCAAGCACAATTGGATAATCTCATTGGATGACTTCAAGATGAACTTCAAGATGCGTTACATTCGGTGCAGGAGTGCTCCGACACTGCCTTCTCACTTTTTTGAAAAACCCTCATCCGGAGCGTGATGAAATGCAAACGAAGTGTGGGATGTTACAAGGCATTTGCGGAGCGGCACGATCGGAAATACACTGCTGAATGTCCTGTGAACGTTAGCAGTGGACGTACCAATTGTGGAATGTGGAAATGGACATTACTGTTTAGAATGTTTCAGCAGACGTCTTAGAATGTACACATCACCAGTACAATCTTCTGTGTGAAGATTTTTTATTGTAAGAAGGAAATACAAACGTTAGTGCTGCTGCTATTAGTCATCATTTCTGAGTTGCATGTTGGCAAAATACGTATACACACAGTGTATAGTGTAACTATGAGTTGTAGCTTGTAGAATATAAAATAAATGCTAAATAAAAACCGAGGGAGACTTGATGAATGTTTCGAAAGGCAGACTATGTCGAATGGCATTCTGAATGCACACTGAGCTACCCTGAAGACATTTCCTCTGTAATGTACTACTTTGTGATAGCGAAAACTTGTCCTCCCTAATTGTCGAACTCCAGTATTTCTACTCTTCTAGACCACATTCTCTACAGTGCACACACTTTTCAACAGCAGTAATCTCTCACCTCAGAATGAACTCGTTTAAAAGAGCTTCTTTAAGTGTGGAGAATAGCTTTCCACGAACGACGTAGCATAACATCGATACTAGACAATTCATCGATAATGCAGTGAAAAACCTCCGTAAACTACTGAATAAATGTGTTCCCATTTCAGTACACGCTATCCAGTATGTGTTAAGGATAGGCAGTGCCGTTCTACTCCACTCGAGCATCGTAGAGATGATTCAATGTGTACAATCTGGTCAATTATTATACTTTCAAGTGTTGCCGTGTGTCATGCTGGTGCTTCTGTCCACTCACGCTTGTCTGGCTTATACAATGAGTTGCCCTGGGTTACCGGTTTATCAGGTCCATGTTTTATGCCTTCATACAAGTCTGTTACTAATTCGCCAGCCGTGGACAGAAGCAGAGATTGGTTTCCTTTGACCACCCATTCGAATCAACGATCCTAGTGATTTTCTTCGTATTTTTGTTGAGCAAACGCGAGGTGTTACTATTCTTTGTTCACGATTAAGCTGACGTTTCGGCGAATTTCGCCTTCTTCAGAGCCTGGAAAGGTCAAGTTGATAGCAACTCACTCGGCCAGACGCCTCCATAACCAAACAACGAAACTCCAAACCAAGATTTCAATCACTTTGAACACAACTCTGCACACTCACCGCTTTCTATGAGGTTTCCACTAAGTATGTCACGTAGAGACCAACCGCACAGAAATCACGTGGAAGTATAATGTGCCCCTCACATCAGAAAAGCAGTTTTATATACTGCCCTATCTCACGCGTGATAATGAGGCATTCTTCCCTGCGGTTCATTTTCGGATTTCTGGAATTAATCCAGAGTGCCTCGAGAGTTTTTCGCGCCTGCGTTCTTGATTCGCGTGCGATGATCGTGACACGTACTTCGAAGTCGTCCCCGTTATGTCTCTGGGTCCTATGCGTGCCTAGCGGGGTATTCGGTCTATTTTTGCCGGCTAGGTGTTCTTTCATGCGGACACAGAGATCAACGATCCTAGTTGTCATGAAGCACCTCGCCTACTACGGTAGACGCAACTCGTTCCTCATAGGTTGTTCTGGTTGAATAACTTCCTGGCTGTGTTTAGAAAAGGCAAAATATAGTATATAGATTATAGGCAAAACATAGCATATAAATATAGTATAGGCAAAATATAGTATATAAATATAGATTGGAGTACGGAAGATGATAATGCCTTCAAGACAAGATTAGAGAAGGATTAAAAGATAGATAGCACAAGAGTTCGGAAAAAAAGATCGGGACAAAAATTTGTAAAAATATCCAATTAACTGTATTCTTAAAAACTCACAAATCTGGTGAGTATGACGGTGAACGCAAAACAAACCCAGCAGACACGAATCAGCTCTTTGAATTTTTTTGTACAGTCAGCTACTACTCCACAAATCAAAGACGCCACAACTCCGATTAAAGCTGCCAGAGATGTCGGATAGCTGAACACTGCGGCGTCCTATTGGAGAAATCGGAAATTCGAATGAAAGATGTTTTTAGCCGCACGTCAACAAATTGAGTCGAATTGCATAGCCTATAGAAACTTACCCGTAAAGGTTGTAGTTTTGCTCGCTGATAATGTCGGACATAATTACCATGAATCCCCATAGTTCCGCAAAAGCGAGGCCAAAAGTGAACAACTGGATCACGAACTGTTTGCTCCTATAAGCTGGCATTTCAAACAGCTTCGAGTTTTTACCTTGGATTGAATTATTCTTCAGACAGGTATATAAAAACGTAGAACTTATGCAGTTGCAAAGATTAAGGGCTCTTTTGCAGCTAAACTTGCTGAACATCACAAGAAACAATTAAGCAGAATGAAAAGCCTCGGGTCAAAAAAAAAAACACGCCGTTATGTGTGGAGCCATAAAAAGCGGTGAGGAAAAAAACAGTTGAAGGAATTTCAACTTATTATTTACTGCCTACTCTTTTTTAATGACAGGGTATATTGCGAAATATAACTTCAATAATTCTGAGATATTTGCAAAACTCCGAACCGCAGGTGTCTACGGTGGGAACGAACGCGCTATTGTCCTTTCCGGGGAGTAACGCGTTCACCACCACACCATGCGGGTCCTTCGTTTCGTGTGTCTCTCAGCTAGTTCTATCGATCTTTGCCATAGCAATCACCCGTCAGCGGAATCGATATCGTTGTGACAAAGCTCGATAGAACTAGCTGAGAAACAGGTGAAACGAATGCCCCGCATGGTGTGGTGGTGAACGCGTTACTCCCGGAAAGGACAATAGCGCGTTCGTTCCCCACCGCATACACCTGCGGTCCGGAGTTTTGCAAATACCTCAGCATCACTGAAGTTGAAGGAATTGTCTACACGTCAATTAACGTTGTACATAGTTTATTTTCTAGATTACTTTCCTCTTTTTCTCTCTAAGAGTATAGAATGAACAACTATTTTTGGTCCAAACTTAATGACATGCATTCATATAATGATGTGAACGAACATCTTCAAAATAACTTTTCCGACCTGAAGCACACTATGATAGACTTCCAGAATGGTGGCACGTTACTTGAATGATTCTCTGAGGATACAGATGGAGGTGTTGGTGGTGATCCATGCCGGATGAACAATGACAACAGAAACGTTAGCGTTGTTGCCACTGCCATGCTAGCATTCTAAAACATTATGCCTCATAGATATGCTCTAGTGCCTAGTAATTTGATATTAGATCAAAATATTACTCACTTATTTTCCACAGTCTGGTTCTATATAAAAAAGAACATTAAGATACGATATTGAGGCTTTTTTCAAACGCATTTCAAAACTATAATATAACTTGAATACTTACTAGATGGCTCCTATTCAGTTTCAGCATTGACCCTAGTACTTCTTTCAGTCTTTCCATTGCTTTTAAGTCTCACCCACAAAGATGGTCGGGTTCATGTCTGGATTCAACTGAGACTTGAAGATATGTTGTTCTCTGACCTTACTAACACGCTGAGTATTGCTTGAGAGGATACCGTGCTAGATGGACGTTCGAAGATGTTCATCAGAGGCGTTGATTAAAGCAAGTTTTGGTGACTTGTAACTAGGTTTCCCAAAGCATTGCAGCGATTCCCAGCAGCGACAGCGACTTTCCATTCGCTGACCCCTATCGAAAATCATCTGCAAAGCTGAATCTAGTGGCTATCATAGCAGTAGAAAATATTTTCCGTGAAAAATGCACAATTATTTGTGAAATGGTGCCCACTCTTGACAGTACAAAGTAGATAACAAACTAACGCAAAAATGAGAAAAATGTAAACACTGTTGCACTCACCCAACAAATTTTAGCCCAAAAGTTCTAGCACCACATAGGCATGACTTGTAGAGCTTATTAAAGAATAATTCGAGTACAAATGCACAACACGATCAGCTATCAAAAATTTACCCTGTGGAAGAATCGATTAATTAGATCTCGTGGTCTTCAGAGATTTCCTTATTTCACGTTCGGTCGGTCAGCTACTGGCAAGATTCGCCGTTATCATAGAAATTGCTGTTATATAAAAGAATCCGATAACAATAAAGCAAAATTTTCATCGGGGCAGTGGGTGAGTGGTGAAGATGTGCTCTAGGATGGCTACCTTGATTCCAAGGAAAACCGCGCACTTTTAGCACCTACCAAGATAGAAGAAAGAAAACCTATACTTTGTTCACAGCTGAACCCATACAGAAATCCTATCAAGCTCTTGAATGCCAAGCAATTCAAGGCAAAAAAACGAATGCAGCGACTGCTAGGAATTGCACGACATTTAGAGTCTTTTGATAAAGGTTACAAATGATTATTTGGGCCTAAAGTTGCGCTTGCGCATAAGACCTCAACTGAGTATTTAGGCCGTTAGATGCCAATGAAAGAACAAGTAAATGCACTCTTCGTGGTAAGAAAGTTTTAGTCTACTTTTAGCACAAATTTAAGAGTGAAAATGAATCGACTTACGAAGCTGAACATATGCCAAGACGTTCGCTCCGACTGAACGTTGCCATTGAAAAACAACGATGGGGTAACAGTGCCGAGAACCACTCCCAGAGGATTTGCTAAGAATAACGCGAACTCGATACGTTCTTTCTAAAGCAGTCATCAAGTTCTAAAGTCACCAATAAAAGTAAGCACGTTGGCGAGAGAGCGCTGATTTTCTGGAAACCAAGCTTCGGCGATTTTCGACGGAAGTACGAGAAAGAATGCCTGCGCCGACGCAACGACTACTGACCCTTAAACTTTCATCCTTTCGCTCAGGTCCTCAATTTATAAAATTCATATAAAGTAAACAACTAAGATATTCTGAAGTTTTTTTTTCATTAGGTATTAAACTTCTTTTAGACAACAAACTGACTGATTTCGTGAGTTTGTAAGCTTTAAAGACTCCTATGAGAAAAATGAAAATGACGGAAAAGTACTTCACTTTTCGCATCGAGGTTTGGAAACTTTTAGCACCAGAAATAAGTCGCTCATAATAACAACGACAATGCTCAGATTGAGATCGCAAATGGACGAAAATGAATGAAAAAAATAAAATGAAAAATGAAAAATGAAATGAAAATGAAAAAACACACATAAAGGCCACCGAAGCACACACTCCGAAACAGAACAAAGTACATTGCAAAAGTCTTTTAAAAAGTCTTTCAGATTAAAGTAAAATAAAACAATACCGGTGTGCAGTAAAGTCTGTCGTATAATCGAGTCATCAACGAACGGAACTGACGAAGCTACTCGAATTAACGAACCGAAAAAATTCAGCGATGTTCCGCACAAGATCTGGAGATATTCCACTTATGTAAGATTCTGCTGCCTTTCCTTTCATTCCATATCCCTTTTCCAACTTAATTCCGTCTTTTAAATTAATAAGCATTGAACTAACCGACAATCGGATACCGTAGTTGTCAGTGATGTACATACCTCCTACGCCGGTTATGACAGCTACTAGCTGAAAATTTTCATACATAGAACAAAGTAGTTCAAGAACTTAACATGAGCCAGGTTTTCAGGGAGAACGTCTACAACTCCCTCTAATTCGACAGTTTTTAGATCGACTTCCTTGCCATTTTAACTAATGAATTCAAGGTGATTAGTCGCAACGTTGTACGGTATATCCACCAGGTGCCGGGGCATTGTTTAAGACGAAAATGAAATTAGCAGAAAGACTCCTTGTTAGTATGGCGCCAAGTTGACGTATGCCTTTCGAATCCGTCATTGCAATGCTCATTGTCATGGTATTGAGTGGAGACGATTGGATAATGTATAATGAATGTCGAATCGGTAGAAGCTTGTAATTAAAGGACTGGATACAATGTGGGAGATCTCCTGAACAAACAAGGCACATGCTCATTTCTAGAAAGTCCAGCAGACTACCCGTAATTACACCCCATCGTTCAACTTTTTATGTACAGCCTATTACTTTTTTTTAAGATTAATGCAGAGCGAGGGTCACGGTGATACAACGGGAAATATGTCGTGAACCACGGAAAGCCTATTAGCTGGTTGGAAGCTCACCTGAGATTCTGAGTTTTGCAACCATCTAAGCATCATTCTGGTTCTCTACTCCACACTTTTGATCAGACATGGTCAGGTAACATTGATTACTGCCTCCCCAAACTCGCTAAAGATAGTGGGTCCGAACAATTATGCGACAACATAGTAATCACGTGATGAGAAAATAACGACTGTTTTCGGCTTTAAATCTGCATATCTCATCGTATAGTGGATGTTATTAATTCAACAAACATTCTTAAAATCGGAACCATTGCCTAGAAAATAAAAGTACTTATGTTTTAAGATTCTAGTTTTCTGGAGTTCATGACATATAGTTGTTCAGATTCAGGACTCAAGTAGTGAAAAAGAAGGCAAATGAACAGTCCGGATCTCGTGCAATGTGATACGAAAGTGTTCGCCAGCATATCATTCATGTCTGCAACTACCTCTCTTTTGGAAGTTCTTTAAAATCTAACATGCTTTGATTTATCGAAAGTTACAATCCTAAGGACACTTAAATCTGAAAGGACACTGTGTAAAAGTCTTAGACGCGATTAACGCGATAGAGTAAGGTCATTTCTTTAACTGTATAGAGTTCAGTACTCCTAAAATACTTTAGTGACCAACAGATCTCCGTCAGGTATAAAAAACTAGTTTCGCCTCAAAAGTGCTTTTTAAAAAAATATTTGCTAATAAGAATGCATTTTTTCGTCGATGAGCAAACTAAGAAACTACTTGCTTAGTGGAAGAGAAGTGGGAGTGGCCTTAGTATAGAATGAAACAATTCCACTGATTTTACAGTATCGCTTGAAATTATTACTTGGAATACAACTGAAATTATTACCTGAAATATCTGGTTAGTAAAAAAGCTGGCCGAGCAGTCACTGCCATTGCAGTAGAATTCGTTTACTTCTTCGGTCAAAGTGGTGAAGCTCATCCATAACTAGAAGAAATTTTGGGGATGAGAGAAGGCAGGTCCAAAACCAAGGTGTAAAAATTACTACGCCGAAATTATTCAGTACTAAAATATGTAAAGTTGTTATCCAATACATGGATTAGCCGTCTTTAAGAAAAACAATGTAAGTACCAGAGCAATTACGACGCGACTTGCATGCTGTTGATTCCTTCTCTTGGATTCCCGAAAAATCAGTGCTACGCGCCTCAGGTTTTTATTACAATCGGCAGCTTGGCTTTTCTGGTTCGAAAGGACAAATCCAAAGGTACAACAGAAGGACGGCGATTCGGGTTAGTGGCTTGTTCTTACTTCCGGTGCTTCCGAATTGTTTGTTCTTGTTTAGGTTATCACGCTGGCAAGTTAAGGCACCTTGATTCCGCACCCAAAAACATTTCCCTGCCACAATACTCTTATAAACTAAGTCATTAATCTCGCAAATTATTGTTTTTGTAATTGCTGTTATTAATATTTCCTAAATGACTATATTACTATCTATTCGCCCATTTCCCTATTTCCTACAACGTTGATAAAAACTTAAACACAGGCTTGAACACCCTGTACAAAATTTGGTCAGTGACTTTCACTCTTTGAATCTCAAAAAAAAGAAACGATCAGATTTTGTAATCCAATAAGAACGGTCTAAAACATTCGCTGTAGCCTAAAAACCATAACGCGAGAAATTACGGTTTACCTACCATACATTATGATTGTTCCAATGTTGAATTAAAAATTAAAAGAAACAAATATGGCTAGCTAACCATCGCATTGGATAACGCCAATAGACAACACACGGCAAGCACAAGCCACCTGGTTGCGTAGACACGGTAGCGTTTAACGTAACAGGTGGTGTCGACGTACTCTCCTTGAGGAATAATCCGGGATCTCTCACCGGATAGTCCCATGAGCAGCTGAAACAGTTTTCCAATATTTCAAAAACTACAGTTTTTGAAATTCTTAATTAAATTCTTGAAATTAAATCTTAAGCGCCAGCTAGTTCGTAACCGCCTATATGACCACGGGAACAGCAACAACATGTGCACGGGAAGAGAGCAGAGAGAGGAGTCCCGGAACTTGGCACGGCAAATAGCCATTTCTAATGGCTACGAAACTGCAGCTCAGGATAGGTGTAGAGGAAATCGTAGGCCTCCAAACGACAACTCTAGCGATAGAAGGGTCCCGTTTATCCTACCCTTCATCTCAAATGATATAAGTACAGTTATAAAACGCTGCTTAAGAAGGGCGGGCTTAGAGAATTCGGTGAGCGTAGTTGAAATACCACCGAGTAATCTTAAGCGCCAGCTAGTTCGTAACCGCCTATATGACCGTCTATGTGCAACTCAAAATTGCATAATTTGCCCCAGTGGTAGAGACGGTGATTGCATGAGCTCGGGTATAGTTTATCTGATCTCCTGTAAGACGCGCGGTGACGAATACATTGGCGAAACGGGTAGACCCCTCTGTGTCCGCATAAAAGAACACCTAGCCTGCAAACTGACCAAATACCCCGCTAGGCACGCATAGGACCCAGAGACATAACGGGGACGACTTCGAAGTATGTGTCACGATCCTTGCACGCGAATCAAGAACACAGGCGCGAAAAACTCTCGAGACACTCTGGATTAATTCCAGAAATCCGAAAATGAACCGCAGGGAAGAATGCCTCATTATCACGCGTGATATAGGGCAGTATATAAAACTGCTTTTCTGATGTGAGGGGCACATTATACTTCCATATGATTTCTGTGCGGTTGGTCTCTACGTGACATACTTAGTGGAAACCTCATAGGAAGCGGTGAGTGTGCAAAGCTGTGTTCAAAGTGATTGAAATCTTGGTTTGGAGTTTTTTTGTTTGGTTATGGAGGCGTCTGGCCGAGTGGATTGCTATCAACTTGACCTTTCCAGGCTCTGAAGAAGGCGAAATCCGCCGAAACGTCAGCTTAATCGTGAACAAAGAATAATAACACCTCGCGTTTGCTCAACAAAAATACGAAGAAAATTACTTGATCGATGCCGAGGTTAGTAGAAAGTCGGTCGTGGCAAAAACTACAGTGTTCCCTACTTTTTAAAAAATGTTCTACAGCAATCAGATAGCTCCAACTTATAAGTAATTAATAACTGCAAAGTCGGGATAGACAGATCATTGTCTTCACACTTCAACGCTAGCTCAGTTGAAGGAAAGATCTGCTGCTAAATTGGTTAGTTAGATGTTGCACTACAAAGAGAAAGACTAGAGAATACGTGACGAAACATTGGAAACTGAAAATACGTAAGAGAATATTCACATTTTCTTGATGGAATACATTTAGAAATGCAGAAATTTTATCGATAACCTGTACAACTTGTCGAACCGTTGATGGTCGAGTGATCTAAGAGGACAGCAAATGAATCTCCATGGTCTTTTCAGCGTGCCAATTAGCCGAGCGAATTTTGCCTAGTCGAAATCCATCATATTTTCCAACACCTGGTCGGTAGTCCTCTGCTGTACGCTTGACATCTCGTGCGATTCAGTAGCTAACGGCTGTTCTCAGGTTCGTCGTTAAGACGCACCACATGTCCAGCCCTTGCGATTCTCGACATCATGGCGTAATGCAGCGCTATCTTTGCTCTTGTCGACGGGAGACGAAACTTCTAGTTACTATCTACATTTACACGATATAACATTTTTCTTCCGTCACCCTCCACATAGTACATTCGTTAACTTGGATTGGTCGCTCATAGTTTCCTAGATCATTGAGATAACATGGGGCTGTTATGAAAAAATTTAGGCTTTGCCTTCGGCGTTTTCAAAGCCGGACTAATTCCAGTCGGTTGTCCACAGCCGGTCGTTATCGCCAACTGGCTGCTCGTTGTAACAGCTAGTCAAATGCAGCGGAGTGTTTGAATTAATGCACCTCACACTGTAGATGATCTGCTTTTATGATGGCCGTCTATCCTGCAGAGCCGGTATTTCATTAGCTAGCACATACCGTAGCGATATCTTCAAAACCGACTTTAATCAGCAAAAATCACCAATCTTTTCTTAGATTATTGAGCTATCACGATGTTGTCATAAAAAGTCACCGTAACACACCCACGTCGTGAAAATCGGCTGCGGGCAATCGAGTCGGATCACCGCATCTTTGAGGAAGGCGTCGGTTCCAAAAACAGTAGCAGATAAAATCCTTTTGTAACGACGTTGTGTTGGCTCAATAATCTTAGGAAATATTGATCGTACCTGCCGCGGTGTAATGGAAGTCGTTTTTCAAAATCATACACTGATTTTTTGCAGGTGTTGTGGAAAACGGGCAGTACTCTTTATGTTTGAGTAACATGGCAAAAGAGGATTAACTTGAGCTTATAACTGAAAATCCAAGCGGTATTTCCGACAATATTTCCAACCTCTGCAGCTTCAGTTAATAGCGCAAGTTTAAAACTCCAGGCCTTTTTTCTCCACTACCAAAAAAACGTTGGATGAGCAGGTCGCACACCTTAACGATTTCGCCCATGACAATATCTTCGCAAAACTTGGCTTTAAGAGCACTTCCAGGCTATGGCGGTTTTCGAATTTTTCCTCAGAATTATTCCTCTGTTCTGCTAAAACGACTCGTCAATAGTGACCATGCAGAAAGTATGAGTCTTCCTGTACAAGTTCTCCTATTCCATACCAACAACGTAAATTTTTTCAACGTCGCAGCATGATGCTGGAACGAGGACAGCGAAGGTTGTTAAAGCCCGCTTTCATCCACACCTTTCAGTCTTGAATATCTAACTACGGTTCATAGTGGTTCAAAAGATCGGATGATCACTCGTGTTAACGACTATATCAACGCCGCAAATTCCTTCACTATCGCACATCCCGAGAGTTGTTCTCCACTATCATAAAGGGCATTTAATGGAGTACTTCCTCTCTACGCGAATGCTTAATCAACGCAGTTGTCATCATGTCCTCAGACAATGAGGTTCAGATGTCAGAGTGCTCGGGTCCTCAGTGAAGGTTGAAATCATAGTGATTCCAGGTTCAAGTAGCCGAGAATAATCACGAGATTATAGTGAAGGAATGCAACCATACTAAGGTAACAGAGAAAAGACTACTTTTCTTCATTGTTTTAGTCAGAAAACACTGACGAGGTAGCTCCTCAAGCTCTAGTGTAGCAGCTGAGTATAGCTTCGTCTGCTAGATCAAAGTAATCAAAGTAGAAATACGGATGGCACTTGTTCGGCTCGACTCGGAACAATCTCCCAAAAATTCCCCAATTAGACAACTTATAGTTGAATTGTTCTGCACATTGCAATGCGCACAAAAACAAAGTAAATCCGGCACAGTAGAAACTGAAAATCCACCGCTGAAATCAAGGCTCTTAGTGCTGGTTTCTCGTTTACTGGGCGTAGAAGTATGTAAAAAATCATTCTTTAAAAACAAAAAAAAATTAATGAGAACGACAATGAATTTGCAATATGTTAATTCCTTGGCCATCTTCGTGCTTTCCGTGCTCGCGATGGCGCAAAATTTCCGACTCAGTGGGAGTTTAGGGAAACCTCAATGGAGAACAGAAAAACGAATAGTGATTAAAAAAAACAAGCCTGAGAAGATCAGGTAAGATGTGGAATAAAGAGGAACTTCATGGGTTAGGGAAAAATCTCCTTTTCAAAGTTGAACACTGCAATCACGTGTCGTCCTGAAGATCATTTTAATTGGATTCCTTAAAGAATAATAATAGGTAGATGTAACAGCAACCTAATAATGAAAGAAATGACATATGAATTTTCAAGAGATCCAGTATTTGGGAGAAGTTTCTGGCACATTCGAAGAACCCACTTAGGTTCACCTTTGAGGATGTATTGTACCTTTTTAAGCCATAGACAAAATGACGCGTAGATAAGAGTAGCGTGGCAGAAAAGTACTTGGATTTGCAAATCTAAACACAAAGTTCTATGCTCAGCTCAAAGCTCTAACTGTATGATAACAAAACCGTAAGGATCTATATATCTTGCCAGCAAAACAGCAGTTTACTTTTGTTATGATGCATTTCTAGGTTTCTAAACGAAGGTACCTGAGATTGGTTCCTCGGGTTCTTATTTTGAGCAGCGAACGAATGGCGCAAACCAGATTTCATCTAGGAACACTCAGATGGCGCACCCTAATTCGTAGCTGATACCGACTGCTCCTATTCTGCACGCGTTATAATTTAACATTTAAAGTTTTTATTCACTACAAAGTTGACCATGAAAGCGTGAAAAGTTGAAACCTTCATTTATCTGACTATATTATAACTTGTTAAAGAGTTTCCCGCACATTTGCTTCGCGCTATAACGTATGAAATTCACTCATGGCTTTACTATTATGAAAAGTGATCTAAAAAGCAACGTATGTTTATAGTGACGTCAAGTGCTCAAGAGAGAAAGTTTCCATTCCTTTTCTTTAAGAAAGACTGCAAGGTGATGATACAAGAATGAGAACAACCTAGGCTAAAAAAAACCTTGATGTTCCGAACATGAGCGGGAGATCTCTGGACAAAGTGGGTTTTTCACACGCTACTCATTCATTTGAGAGGTAGTGGATCTATGAGAAAGTAGGATGTGTCATGTAAAACTTATTGATACCAAAAAAAGTGTCCATAGAGATTTCCTGAAGACTTTTCAATAGTGAGACCGACTGATACCCACGATATTAGCAGTTTTCATTTTCCGAAGTCAAGAGAAACAGACACTAATATCATACAAAGTCTCTTGTTAGGCATGTCTACGACTTAATCGGCGTTTTCTTTAGTCATTTTAAGTTATTGTTTTAACTAAGTCGTTTGAAATATAACTTTAATGATCCTGAGATTTTTGCAAAACTCCGGACCGTAGGTGTCTGCGGTGGGGAACGAACACGCTATTGCCCTTTCCGGGAGTAACGCGTTCACCACCACACCATGCAGGT